AGACATAATTTCTTGTTCAGTTACAAAGTTCCGCTGTTCAAGTCCTATAATTGCTGTATCAAGAACACGACTAATTTGTCAATCGAAATTTTTTCGTTTTCAATAACCTCTGTTACTTTTCTTCGCTATCGGAAGCGAATTATAATGGCGAGGAACTTGTTTTAAATCATATCAAAGACAGAGCATATCGAGATGAAATACTACATTTGGTAAGGAATTATAAGCCAAATAAAATAAAAACATCTGCGCTGAAGACAAGGATAGTGCTGACAAATCAACTTCCAATTCATTACGCGCTCGCCACGGCGTTCCCCCCCGCCGAGCAGCGTGAAATTGATAAACAGATTTCGGATTTCAAAACATACTTTCGCTTTAGATCCTTTACATATTAACAAATATATATCGGAAATTCTATTTGATATAATCGAAAGTTTAAGCTTACTTTTATAAAATTGCTCTTACAGTCTGCAAAAAATAATAAGCCGGATCCAATTCGAAAATTAAGGAACAATGCAATCATCAACATTAACTGAAATAGATAATTAGATAATTTTAGCTTATACGTCTATTATACATAAAACGCGCACGCGAAAACGTATTCTGCACTTGCGCACACTCATATGCGCAGTCGTAAAAGGTCTTACGCGCACGCGTAAACGCCTATGCGCATGTGTCAACGCGGCACATGCGCAGAAAGTTTTTAGTTTTGAGGTCCGGATTATAGATCATTCCGAATTATGGGTGTCCGAATTAACGACTTTTGACTGTAGTAAAGAGAGTACTACAGTACAATGCAGAAATATTCCATACTGCTTTGCACAGAAATATGTGCCAACCAAGAATCGGTCTTTCCAAAAAAATATCTCTAGACCATTTCGTCCTTTTTCTTTTTTTACCATCTTCCGTATCCTCTTGGCTTATAAGAAGGGCAGATAAAAGAGCATTCTGTTGAACAACTTTGTGGTGAGCTGAAAAACCATGACACAAAATAACGAAAATAAGCAAAGTGAGCGCGGGAAATCAATCGAGCTAAAAAACAGTGCGCGAAAGGTGTAGACACATCCACGCGTTTGCAAATTTAGCTTCTGTCATTGGCCACAGCTTAGACACCCGTCTCGCAGGTGTGAACGGAACTACCGTATTTTATGCCTCTATGCTCTTTATGCCGCTGTCTGAACGTAGTTTTATTGGCACATAGAAAGGAAGCAAAATCTTAAGATGTCCCCACGCAATGAAACCCCTAGCTACCGCTCTGCCTGACTGCAATGTAGTATAGAGAGGAAATCTTAAAGGCCTATGTTTGACTTTCAGGGGGCACACTTGGTCCTGAAAAGTGAGAATATTCTCTGCATGGATCGGGGAGATATGTTAGGTTCCCTGATCTATAGGGTTAGATGCCCTGTTCTTAACCCTATACAGCATGTCTGGGATGTTTTTGGAACGGCAATTTCATCCTGAAATCCCCCTCCGAGAACCATCCCGTAATTGAAAACTGCCTTGCCGCAGAAGTGCAATTGACTGCCACAGTTACTCCTCCACAGCCTCCTGTCCAGTATGCCATTACGTTCTCTGGCTGCGAGAGGAAGCCATACCCCATATTACATTTATTTTTAGTTCCATATCACATTGGGGATTTTAGACATCCCAGCACTGTGAACTTTAATGATAATCATGCATACATCAAATGACTTTTGAATAATGCATCTCTTTCTCTGTTACAAAAGTATATTGTTCCTGAATTTCATTAAAATATGTCCATTAGTTTGTTAGAAATTTGACATAATCTCAAATTTTCTACGGTATGAATCTGGAAATAAAGATGATAATTGCTGAACTTAGTGTAGTATCAACTTCTTCCTCGCGCCCTATCACTCAGCCATGGCAACTGTGCTTCGAAATCATTACATATACAGTCAAATGTCGTTAATCCGCACTCGTCGGGACTTCGGCGATTCCCGATTATCGATTTTTCCGGATTATAGATCATCAGTTTAAATCTCGTAAGATGGCATGCAGAAATTCTAAAATTAAAAATATGAAACCGTAATTTATGAAATAAAGAACAATTATGATCTAAAGGGTATCAAAATTTGCAAAAAGCTTAATATTTATTTGTTTACTTTATTAAACATTTCTTTCAATGTAAGTTGTTTAAGTTTTGCTTCGTTTCATGTGATAATACTTTCTCTTTAATTCTATTAAACAGACATAATTTCTTGTTCAGTTACAAAGTTCCGCTGTTCAAGTCCTATAATTGCTGTGTCAAGAACACCGACTAATTTGTCAATCGAAACTTTTTCGTTTTCTTTTCTTTCTCTCTTACTTTTCTTTGCTATCGGCAGCGAATTATAATGACGAGAAACTTGTTTTAAATCATATCAAAGACGGAGCATATCGAGATGAAATACTACATTTGGTAAGGAATTATAAGCCAAATAAAATAAAAACATCTGCGCTGAAGATAAGGATAGTGCTGACAAATCAACTTCCAATTCATTACCGCCCGCCGTTGCGTTCCCCCGCCGAGCAGCGTGAAATTGATAAACAGATTTCGTATTTCAAACATACTTTCGCTTTAGATCCTTTACATATTAACAAATATATATCGGAAATTCTATTTGATATAATCGAAAGTTTAAGCTTACTTTTATAAAATTGCTCTTACAGTTGCAAAAAATAATAAGCCGGATCCAATTCGAAAATTAAGGAACAACGCAATCATCAACATTAACTGAAATAGATAATTAGATAATTTTAGCATATACGTCCTATTGTACATAAAACGCGCACGCAAAAACGTATTTCTGCACTTGCGCACACTCATATGCGTAGTCGTAAAAGGTCTTACGCGCACAGGTAAATGCCTATGCCATATGTCAACGCGGCGCATGCGCAGAAAGTTTTCAGTTTTGAGGTCCGGATTATAGATCATTCCGAATTATGGGTGTCCGAATTAACGACTTTTGACTGTATATATGTATATATATTAATTCACAAATAATAATCAAAACTGGTAATTTCAGATAGTTTGGAAGTTTTTCATGATATAATTGATAATGTTCTAAAACTGAATAATATCACTGTTTCAGTCCTGGAATATTTTGGAAAGCATAATACGGAAATACAGACTTGCCTTAACTAAAGAATATATCAAATATCTGCAATTTAATCAAGAACAGACAATGATACTTAAGCTGCTAGAGAGATTATATAGATTACCTTTCATTTTAACAAACCACAAAACAGCTGCCGTTGCAATATGAGAGGTTTTTTTTTTTTTATTTAACAACACTGCACATTTTTACAGCATTGTGCAGCGTATTAGTGAACTTGATGAGCTGTCATAGAGAAATCTAGTGTTAAGAGGTTCTGATAGTTTCGGCCCCTTTTAAAAATGAGGATAATATTAATAATAATAATAATAAAGTAACAACATTAATAACTACAATAACAACAAAATTACCTAAGACTGTTCCTTTACAAATGTTTATAGCATTTTTTATCATTCTTTTAATGTCCGTTGAAGTAGCAAATTTAATCTAGTTTTCTAGCAGTGGAGGGTAACAGCCATTTTTATGAGCGTAGCGGAATCATTTAGGATGAATTAGTATTTGAAATGGTCTGCAAAGTACCAGGTTTTATATTCATTACAATATACATTGTCATTTGTACCTCTGAATAGGGTGATTGTGTTGATTTCTGCTCTTGAGCTTTTTGATATAATTTCAATCTAAGTTACCATTTTATCATTATACTGTACTTAAAATATTAATCTTGCATTAGCCTATGGATAATTTACGTTTTATTGAGGAAATCGCAGTTGGCAGCTCCTATTCGAGTCTGTTCCTGAAATGACTACTTCAAATGCATTTTAACAGCTGTCTTTAGCATATAAATTCTGCTTAACCGAAATAACAGCTAAATTAAAAGCATCGCTGAGTTTATTTGCGAACAGACTGATTAGCATTGTCAATATTAACCTTTGTCGTGAGATTGTTTAATTCTAGAGGGCGTGTAAATACTGAATTGTAAGATGAATTCTAGTCGATTTTGGGGGTTTTGAAATTCCTGGCTTGGCTATAAGAAGAATATGGACCAGAAATCATTCGTATAATGTCACTACCGAATGGTAGCGGAAACAAATATGGCCTTTGGTTCAAGACAATTAAACTGAGGTATTTAAGATGCATTGTTGAATGACTTAAGTTATGAGTGGAATGATTACATTTCTGATTCAGGTGCTTGACAAAGTGAGATCTCCATTATGATGATCCAGCGGCCGAGCGGTAAAGTCGCTGAACACTGGTAGTTCGAATCCCGCAAACGGGTTGGCTGCATGGGTGTTTTCGTGGTTTTCCCATGTGTAACTTGTATACAAGCCAGTTTCCCTTAGAAAGTCCTCCATGAAGGCATTTCTTTCCTTAGACAGATACTAGCCCTCGAGGCTTTGCCATAATTAAATAACCTAACCTAACCATTATGATGAAATCGGAAAATTACTGGGGTTCTGAAATTCTGTTGTCTGACACATTTCAGGTAGGTGTACTGAAATTTGACTACTTCATAACGTTTTAAGTTAGCTCTGGCAATTAACCATGAGAATAACATGTGTTTTTTAATTGAATATTAATGTGTGTTTAATATAAATGAAAACTCACTTTTGATGGACGTGAATCACTAGGAACAGAACTTGGGGTAAACTACCAATGGTTCATGCTTTTGGTCACCTAGTCATTGGTAGGTGCCATGACAGTGATTACTGTATATTTAGGGATGTTATAACTGCACTGTAATTAGAAAGGAGTATTTGAAGATATGTGTTTCTTTTTCACTGTTTGTGATTTTTATTCAATTTCTTTATCATATATAATTACTAACTGATTAGGTGGTTTCCCCTAATTTGTAACACGGAATGTATTCTTTTTGCAATATGAAATACAGCTTTTTTATTCCATGTTCTTTTAATTATTCTGTAATGTGTAACATTTGGTTCTGTGCAGGTTATGCGAGGTGGTGATGGAATGGCAGGTTTTGCAGTAAGACATCCATCTGGTCAATTAGTCTTGCCTTATTACTGGAAACCAAGTGCTGAATATGAAGAGCAATCTGCTGACCCTGGAGGTAAAATGTTATTGAAAACTAATTTATTTTTCTGTTGCTGTATGTTAAATTTGATATAATGGTTTTGAAATTTAAAAATTAAATGTACGAAATTATTTTGACTTTGGATTGATTGAAAGTTTAATTTTTAAATTAGTACATGCATTCAGCATGAAAATATAAATTTTACACCAAACTGCTTAATGAAAAAAAGAAATATGAAAGTTAAACTTCTTTTTGAAATGCATCCATAAAAGTCTAATTGTTTTTTTTTGGGGGGGGGTCCAAAATATATACAGTACAAAGTCCGTAATCCGGACGTCCGTTATTCGGAATGATGTATAATCCGGACCTCAAAGCCACAAACTTTACGCATGCACGCTTTGAAAAAAATTTTTAATGAAGTAAACAAATAAATATTATTAAGATTTTTTTTTTTTGTAAATTTGATACCCTTTAGATCATAATTGCTCTTTATTTCATAAATTACGGTTTCATATTTTTAATTGTATAATTTGTGCATGCCATCTTACCAGATTTAAATTGATGATCTATAATTCAGAAACGCTTAAGTCCCGACGAGTCTGGATTACAGACTTTGTACTGTACACATGAGGTAAAACCAATTTATTTCCATATTTGACTAAACACTGAAAAGGTCATAGAAGGATATTATTTTTTGAGTTATTGTCTCATACACAATTTATTTTTCTGCGAACATTAAAGTCATACACAAAATTTTTAACACATGATTCAGATTGTCTCTTTGTCCAAACAAAAAATTAATTTTTTGCTTTTGATGATGTCCATCAAATGAAGTTTGGATGCTGAAAATAATTATTTTAACTCTATTAAGGAGAGATATATCTTCAGCATTAAAATATATTATACATTTTAGACAGTATTATGGTTTTAAATTTGCTTTCATATTAATGTCTGTCTTTCATAAAGAAAAAAATTTGAATAAAAATGACCATAGCCCGAAACAAAGAAGAGAACCCACAGAGCATTAGCCGTGGAACTTCTTCTTGGCAGCTCTCATTCCGTCAAAAGTATTATTATTTTGGCTGAAATTTCATAAATATGGGATAACAAATAACAGATTCTAATGTCTTGTGATATTAATCTGTCAGAAATATTCCCTTCCCCAAAAGAACATAGTGTAGAGATGCAATAGTGATGTATTTAGGAATAGTTACCAAACTGTTTTTAATAGCAAGCTTTCCCAGCTTCTCCTATTTATGAAATAAATATTTACATATTTCAGTAATCATAACATAATTTTCATCAGTCATTGCTTTGAAAGTAAGTAATTTTTGATGAATAACTAAATTCTGCACCCCCCCCCACAATGCATCATAATGTAACGGGATACATTATGATGTACATGAGTTTAATTCATTCCATGACCGAGCTCATAAGCCAGTCTTGCTCATATCCCGGTATATTCCCCATTTAAATACCATTAATCCATTCCAGCTCCCCAAATAACAATCTCAAATTTTGTACGTATTTTCAAATAAGAAAAAATGAACTGTATTACATAGAAAATTAATAAAAATTTTTTATAAATATATACATATAAATAAGAATGTAAAGGAATAAGCTTATTGTATATAGTTACTGCACTTTACTCATTCTACCTTCATTATTCTTTAATGAGGTTTGCTACCTTTTTTCCAATATTTCTTCACTTCCATTTAAAGTATGTTTCAATAGAAATTTGTCCATGTAAGTTTGTTTTATCCTCCTTTTAACAGTATTTCTGAAATGTGTTAAAGAATTGTTATTGAACAGTCTGTTGTGTGACATGTTGCAATTTGGTCTAGGTGTTTTTTTAGTGAACTCAGCAACTACCTTCCACTTTCCTAGAATGTCCTTAATTGCAGCTGAAAGATACTCATGGATTTATAGCCTGGCATTTTTGTCTCCTCTACTGTAATGTAACTTCTCTGTAGTATTCTCTTCCAGAAGAGTCTTGTCACAATGGAAGACTTGTTGGAGAATACACACTTCAGCTTTTATAAGTGCCACAAAAGTTTGGAGGAACTCCTTTGCTGTCTTCATGTCTCAGCTCTTTACTTCACTATGCCTGATGATATAGTGATTTCCAGTTCGCTTTTTAAAGTTTTCAAACTAATGGTGATTTGCACTGAATGTCTTCAGGTTCATTACATGAAGAGCCTGGAGTCTTCTCAAATATACAGTATATAACTTGTGCCTTTTTGCAGATGGTGGTCTTTAGTCATTGGCATCTCCATCAGCAGTTTTCCATCTTTCATTTATAAAATTCCACTATTTCAATATTGTTGTCATGCCCTTAACTGACTCTATAGTCTTCTTTTGCTTCAGTGTTATAAGTATGGTATAAATACATTCATACTGCTTAGTCAAGTCAAACTAAATGCATACTTTGCTTGTTTATTGGTGATTCCGTGCTTTAATTCTGGAGACATCATCTGCTTCTTCACATTACTCACTTTCTTAGGACCCATTGTTACAAATATATTTTAATAATAATTATAAGTATATAGTTACATTAAATATATCACTATAAATAGTGGCAAAATAAATTTCACTAACATGTATGTGAAGATGTGAGAACAAAATGTAACAGAGATGCTTTTAGTACAAGGTCACTAACTATGTGAACTGAATGAGCGAGCTTGCTCTTCATTTTATTTTCAATGCCAACTACTGTGGCACAGCAAACCTCTTACTTGATCTTGTTTCCTAATTTTTACTTGTATCCAGATATAAAATTTTGCCTGAATGCCAACTCATATCCAGTGGTACCTCTGTATATCACTGTTGCCAACTACAAGCCCATGGATTGCATGTGGCTCATGAGGTAACTTTTTGTAGTCTATGGTCACCTTTACCAAAATGTATTATTATTATTGATTGAAATTTTCTTGATTAAATGTACATTGTCATATTTTTTTATAGTGTAAAATGAAAAACTAAGTTTGGTGAAATTGTTACTTTGCATTAGTGTTTACAATATTCTCATTAACTTGTGCTACATTATAAGATCTAAAATGTGCTGAAATAAATATTTTATTCAAAAATGCATTCAAAATTGAATTTAGAATTCATATTATTGTGTCTTAAATTTGATCTCATTGTTCTTCCATCTGTGAAACCGTTAGGAAAAATAAATACATAGCTATTGTTTGAAGTGACATGTTCATTATTTCACAATATGTTCTTAAAACATATTGCGTTGCCTACAGTACCAATACTCATCTTAAATTGGTCCTTATGTACATAAATACACCATCATTAAGATTTATGATCTATATTTAAGCCTATCATTCTGTAGTGTTCTGTTATGTGCTGTATTAGGTAATCTGTACTTTTTAATAGAAGCATATTCTGTATTTTTTTAAAATAGGTTATTACCACTTATGTATAGACAACTCTTTATCACGATTTGCTTCTAAATTAGTCAGCATGTATGTTAATTCATTTAAACGTGACAAATGGGAAGATTACGTTAAAGAATTAGAAGACATGGATGTTACTGTAGCCAATTTTACGGTAAGTGTTAAATTTATATTCTTCAAAACTATAAATGGTGTTACACTACTTTTACAAACAATTAATGATTAGTGAAAACATTTAAAGAATAAATTATAAGAACTGCTCAGTGAAAGTTTCATTCCTTATGATAAAATTAATACTGTTAAAATCTGTGCACACCTGTCTGTTTGCGTGTAACACTGTCTTCCCCGAAATGGTGGGAACTGAGTTTCAAGAGAGGTACCCCTGGATTCCAAAAATTCGTGGGAAGCCATTTCGAAAATTATCATCTTTGTAGGACTTTAATCAATTGAGATATTAATAAAAAACTCCAAAAACATCAATTTTCACACTCTGCAAGTTGTTTACTTATTTATTTGTTGCTAAACTTCATTGCTGTTTGGTTTACTACATCGAAGGGCATACAAGGTAGAATTTAAAATTGTCGTGTGTTTTTCTAAGGAGAGGTAGAGTAAAATTTTTTATGGAATGACCTATTTATTCCTCCATCACTTTTTCTTTGTTTTTTTGAAAGTGATGTTTTTTTTAAATTATCTTAAAAATTGTAAATTTTAAAAATATTTTTTTTCCATTTAAATATGAAATATCCACAAATTTTACATATTTCTTTTTAAAAATCTTACTGGAAACTCTTTTAGACATTAGAAATATGAAGCTAAGCTCACAAACTCATAACTAAAAACTTCACACTTTATGGAATAATTATGAATCATTGGATTTTCCTTTCAGGTGTACATAAAAATTATAAATTTTGCTTTGGTCACAGCTCACTAGTCAAAGAAAAATTCAATTTTTGTAATAAAAAACACAGTTTTTTTAAAATCAGTTTCATAAGCTTATATAACACATACTAAATAATGACTTATATTCTGGCCTTTATTGGCTTAAAATCAGAATAAGTGTGAAACACTTTTGACCTGCAGCCTAGACACGGCCTGTAGTTTTGTCCATGCATAACATAAATACAAGCCAGTTTCCCTTAAAAATCCATTCCCTAAGAGAGAGATTTTGAATGCTTTGCCAATAAAAAAAAAATTAACTGACAATAGTTAGTTTTAAGATAGAGAAAATATGTATATCTAGAAGTCAAAGAGAAAGTCAAAATGAGTTTATATATATAAGAGTAAAGCTTTAAGCTAAGATGTAAGGCATTTTAAGATGAAATATAATAATAATTGTATAGTAGTATATCTGCATTGCTTTACTTTCTTTTGCATTATATAGAATTTTATATTTCCCCATGTTATAGCTATTTAGTTTTTATTTTTAAATATGGATATTAAATAAACGAATGTTTTAAAATTATCTAATTACTTTTCAAATTTTTAGGCTACCCTTCAAACTGTTGATGGGCAAATTGGAGAAATGTTAAAATATCAAGATCATTCCCGTCGTCAGATGTCAAAAGATTGGTATCTTGTGGACAGTAACCACAGTTATATACAATCATGGTCCATAGCACAATGCACTGTGATATTCTTGACTTCTACACTTCAAGTTTTCTTTGTGCGTAAACTTTTTGATACGAAAAACGTCACACCTACCTCTAAACCTCGAGCTTAAAAAAATAGTAGAAATCTTAGCCAATTTTCAATATCACTTTAATTCTCTATATTTTAGTAGCATGTGTATTATATTTATATTATGACATAATTCTTTTAAATACTCATATGCATTTAATATGTTTAAAAATTACTTCAGAAATGTGATAGACCAAATTGTTAAATTCCCATTCTATTGACAATATATATTATACTCAGTTGATTATAGAGGGTAATTATGTTTACATTCAGCTTCAAAAAATAGTAGAAATCTTAGCCAATTTTCAATATTACTTTAACTCTCTATATTTCAGTAGCAATCATTTATATTATGACATAATTCTTTTAAATACTCATATACATTTAATGTTTAAAAGTTGTTTCACAAACATGATAAACCAAATTGTTAATTTCTCAGTCTATTGACAATATATATAATACTATAGTGATTATAGAGGGTAATTATGCTTATTTTCAAGCTAAATTTACATTTTTTACATTATGTGGATGAAAAACGACGAGCCAAAATAAGAAGTTATAAGAAATTGTAATCTAAAAAGTGTCAAGCTTTTTTATGCGAGACTTAGAAAATGATTAGTTTTCTATTATATAATCATTAGTACCAAAAATAACAATGAATGTACAAAATTTTTGTTTCAAGACTGTTACATTTAAAGGTTTTTGATGTTGGTTCGTGTAAACAGTATATGTATAGCTCATACTGATTATCTTACTATAATATTTTTTTAATTACTGTTGTATATGCATATCTAACTATACATCCTAAATATATGAACAATCAAAGATTACAATCATGAAAATAATTTATATAAAAATGAAAATTAAACTTTTGCTATTTATTTAATTGCCTTTCATAATTCTTGACTGCTGAAATGCTGCTTAATTTTTATTACTATTATTATTTTAATTCTAGTAACTTGAACTGTGTATTTTATATAAGAAGGAAGTTTTTTGTTTGACATCATATTTTATAGGAAATTTTTTTTTGAAAAATTCATTTTTATTACACTTATGACTAGAATACTCATTATTAGTCACTATTTAATTAAATTGTTTATAGCTATATATGTTATGGAACACTATTTTTAATGGAATTTAAATATTGTATCTCAAATTCAAGTTTCTTTCTATGTTGTTTTTATGTGTTACTTAAAAGTTTTAACCCATTGATTAACCAGAACTGTGTTATGGTGACCTTCTTGACAGTTTGAATAGTATAATACATCAATCCTTTTCTAAGAAACTGTTAATTCATTTCTTATGAAAGTCATAAGGAAGCAAATTTAGATGTCATAACTATATTTAAAAATTGTTAAAAAATTAATATATATTTTTCTTTCATTACATTAATACATGCATAGATAGAAGAATAATTTTATTATATGTAAATTAAATTTTAAGATTTGCTTATATTTTATGTATATTTACATTTTATAATTTTATATCAAAATTATGAATTTGAAGGCCTACTTAAAATTTTTATGATGAAAATAAAACTTAAATTTTTAGTGTACTATTTAATTCATTATATACTGTATATAAATATGTGGTAAAAGTAATGTATACATTGCCAAATATTAGTTTTGAAGCCAAAAAATGAAGATGCTCAAGAAAAAGGGGTAAAGCACAAGGAGAATGAAATGAGATAATGATGTTTTTGCACATTTTTAAAACATCAGCTGTATGTTATGCACAATAAAATAATATTGTACAAATGAGTTCCTTTTTATTTTGCACTTTCTAACTATTTACATTTGAGTCGTAATGGACAGTAAATTTTATTTCTATTAATGAAATATTTAGCCAATTGAAACAGATAAACTAAATATAAATACATTTACAGGTATTTAGAAGCAAGGAGGTAAGGTAAAAAAAGAGCTGCTTTCATTAGCACAATCATTTATTTAAATAGAATATTCTATTCATGTAAGAACGGGATGAGAAAAAGATAAGCCTGAAGGCCCGTCTACACGAAGCGATTTTCTCGGCCCACTTTCTCGTAGAGCAACAATTTTAAGCATCTGCGCTATGCACCTAAAAATCAGTCATGTTCTATGCCATGCGATTTCAGAACTGGTGTTCACTGCGTTCACTAGCGTACGATAAAATTCGGTAGTCTCTAGCCAATAAGATTGCTTTGAGTGATCACATGCTTTTCTTCTCATTTTGGAATAAATAATAAACATGGCTGTATTTCGTTGGAGCGAAACTTAAAATTTTTCAACTAATAGATTTCTATATAGAAAATGTTGTGTTGTGGGACACAAGTAATGTAAATTTAAAAAATAAAAAATTAAGAGATTCTCTTATTTTGGTAAGCTTTGTCTTTCGCATTACTTTATATATTCAAATATTTTCTATTCGGGATGAAAATCATTTTAACTTCCCCCAAGAAAAGTTCCAAAAACTATTAATGAAGCCATGTCATGGTACTAGATGAAAATATTCAGAAACTACTTGTAAACTGTGGTCGCACTTATTGAAAAAAAATTCAAGAAAGCAAAATCTTCCAGTCAAGAAATTACGAGCTGGATTTAAAGCAGCGCAGAGACTCATTGACTTCGCCGAAAATGGTTCGAGTTAATCAGGTGACGAAGTACATAGCTTTTACCTGAACAATCTCCTACCACGAGCGATCATAGCCTCAAGTGGTAAAGAGCAGGGCTAGGTTTTTCTCCTGTACATCGAGATCGTGGTTCGATCCCCCAACTTAATTTTGGACTTTCTGCGCCTGGAAGAACTTTTTAATTTAGTTTCTCCATCACTAAATTCGAACTGCATGACTTAAAAGTAACTTTTTATTTTCTCACCTACGGGTGTGGTGTTTATTGAATTTTAACGCCTTTCTTTTTATTTTTCGGAAAGTCACAAACTCAGTTTTATGTTATTTGAGTTTTGCGAAAACAAATTACAGCCCAATTTAATACAATATTGCTAAATTTTATTAGCTGATTAACTGATAGAGTCATATGATCATAGTTTTCAGACTGCATTAGTTATTTAGTTATGCTGATATTATTTTTTTAATGTTAAATAAATATACTACTTAAGACTTTGCACATTTATAATATTTCTTATTTGAAATTTTTGAAGTGAAATTACACTGTTGCTTTGTAATGTAGTAATCTTTATTCTTCATTACTTCTTTTTACTCATACTGGTTTGATATTCATGACATTATTGTCTATTTATTCATGAATAAAGGTTTTGATTTAAAGCACAGTAGTTACTTATTTTTTCTGAAACATGGTTATTTTATTATTTCAAGATTTAAGTAGGAGTGCCAGAAAATGAAATTTAAAAATAAATAAATAAAATAAAAAAGAGTAATCTGTGTTCTATGTACACAAAGGAAAAGCATATTTTTTAAAAATTTTGCTGCAAACTAAATTTAGCAAAAAATAAAAATCACGTGGCATTATCCGTAAATACTTTCCGAATTGTACCATGAGTACACAACTACAGGAGCAGGGCATTACGAAGGCACCACGAATTTCTCGTCGTTTGACCCAATTTCTGGTCCAAACGCATTTTTTTTTTCTTTCTTTTTTCCCTCTTGTAGCAGTAGCTAAGTTCAAAATTGCAGTTGTATCTATAGTAGCAATTGAAAATAGTCATCCATTATTTTTACTATTTGACAGTACTGTAAGCTTTGTTTACAAATCGTAGACAGTGTGACGTTGTAGAGGGCAGGAATACTTCCTTTCTCAGTGATTGGCTGAGTGAGTTTCTGTACTAACGAGAAAATCGTTCCGTGTGGACAGGCGATCTATCTCAGATATTGTCGGCCAAGAAAATCGCTACGTGTAGACGGGCCTGGAGAACAGTTACGAATAAAGGAAGAAAATATAATTACTAAACTAACTTTTCACAATAATCAAAATTTTAAAAATTAATTTTCTTAATGAGGGTAAAGATTTATTAATTTTTTCAAAGAATTGAACGTTAGTTGCCGAAAAGGGGGAGTTCTTTTATGAAAGACTTTTCTATGGAAATTTCATTTGCAATACATATAGAAATATAACAAGATATAAACAGAATTTGTTTGTAAATTCCATCACAACAAAAATGTTTATTATTTAGTTAATTATTATATTATTACATGAAGGAATTACAAATAGTTACTGTATATTTATGAAAGTACAAAAAACCCTGATATTTAAGAAAAATGAATATTTATTTGTAATTACAGATCACACATAGTATTTCATCCATATTGGGCATTAGTACAAAATATATTATGTTTTATATTTAGCTGTTTTACATTTCTTGGGATAAACAAATATTAAAAAAAAATCATAGATAAAACTAAGAAATTATGTTGTACTCTTCCTTCCCTTCTTTTTTTCCATATACATGACTAAAAGAGAACATGCAAAATTTATTTTCCGAATTTTCAAAAAATAATTTTAATTGACACTTGAATATTGTTATTAAAGAAAAATATAGCAAATTATGTTGGCTGTATCATTTTTATACAGTAATATGCTCTAGAATTCCTTGATGGATAAGTTTTTCACAATCAGTTCTCTGAAGAAAGTGCTGAAAAAACAAACAGATGCAACAATAAAAGTTATCAAAATATTTTGTAATTACTGTAATTTTATTAAGAAATGTTTAGGAGAATTTTGCATAATATTACAAAGGCAAAACAATATTAATGAATAACAAAAATGAAAGAAATTTATATATATGTGTAAGGAAATTTCAAATCCAAATTAAGTTTTCAATACATTCAACTAAATAGTTTAAAGATAAATGTGACAAATATGAATGGAAAAGGTAAAAAAACTTGAAACATGCATACTATATAAAGATTGATGTAATACTAAAATGGAAAAACAAAGCTTTGGAAACTAGTGCCTAAATATTAAAACATTTTTATTATTTCCCAATAAGTGAGCAAATGTGTTATATAAAATAATTATTTGCAGTAACTTACTGTACTATTTTTGGTTAATACTACAGTGTTTCCATCACTAGTTTCAAAATCTCCATAATCACACAGACATCTCACCTAATGCAATGAATATATAATTACTTTAATTGCAAAAAATAAGCATAAAATATTAACTTAGATTTTCCCACCCCCTTCTCAATACATCTTATGTATAATGATTTTTCTGTCTGGGGGGAAAAAATAATAATAATAATAATAATAATAAATTATAGTAAAAGGTATTTATATATTTTTTTATTTATATACAGTATATATTTCTGTTCAAGTGATAAAAATTTGCAAGGAATTTAAAGAGACAAAATATAGACAATTAAAAATCAAATATCTCTCTGATTAATAAGTATTAATGACAAACACATTCAGTTTGTGTAACACATGGTAGCTTGTATCATAGGATATGCAACAAAACTATTTTACTAATTTATAAAGTTAATTGATAATAGTGAATATGATAAAGGATGCAATGCGTTCTTATTGTGTGGTATTAAATTTTTAATGCCACATGAATTTTGTATCTTAACATTTTAAGTAACGTAATATACTTTCAGATATATATTAGAAAATTTCTAAAATATATAAATATATCATTCACATGTTTATGAAAATTACATCTTATAATGTAAAAATACCAAGTAGAAGAAATGAATATTCTATCAAATATTTTTAATTTTTGAAATATAGTTTTGGGATTTATGGGAATATTATAAATACTTTTAAACACCTTCCACTAGTTCTGTAAAATATGTCATTATTTTATTATATCATATCATATAAAAGTTGATGTGCATAGCAAATGCAGTATTTATCACTTATGAATGGCTATTATAATTAGCTGCTTATGATAAAAGTGTCAAGAACAAAATCAAATACATAACAGAATCCCTACAAAGCTTTATAAAATTACCACTACATGTTATAATAAACAAAATCACCTATAAACATTTTAAACTACTTTTAACTTCTAAGAAAATGTAACATTAAATCATGAAAGAACATGCAAGAGTTTTGTTATAGTAAATCTCACTGGTAGCTGAGTATTAAATACTGTTAAATACTAGTATTTTGACCTAGTTCAAACCCAACTGAAAAGTCTAGCTGCATGGTTAATTTTCATTTTTCCCATGTATAATGCAAATACAAGCTATTTTCCCTTAGGAAATCCTCCTTTTGGGCAGCTTATCCTTGTGTGCTTTCCCATATTCAAATAACTTATCCTGCTTATAATAAAAGGTTAAAAATACATTGGAAATAACACTGGCAACAATACATCAGCAGAAAATGATTATCAAATAGAGATGGTCTTTGGCTAAATGGGTATAATTACAGTAAAGATTGAATAAATACATTGGAATTAGCATTTGTAAGAATACACAGATAAAAACTAACTGTCAAATGGGCAGTCATTAGTTAAATGAGGTTAGAGTGAGTAAAACTCAACTACATAACATCCTCTTTAATTCAGCATTTGCTATAGTGGAAAGATAGGATAGGTCACTGTTAATCATGTTAAAATAAATGATGAAACTTATTTTTAAAAAAATAAAATGATTTTTATAAATATTATGATGTTCATCACATTTTCAGTCAATGAAAAATTTGTTTGAAATTGGGATACATAACATTATGTGATCAAACAAATGTTTATATTTGTTAAAACAATGTTAAAAATTGGGAAAATTGTCCCAAAACTGAAAAAAAAAAAAAAAAAAAAAAAAAAAAAAAAAAGTCTGAAAGTCCTTAAAATTATTCTCCTTGCATAATTCAATGGTGTTCAGCAAAAAATTATACCAGTATCCAGGGCAATATTGATAAAAAGACCAAAGAATTATCTTAAGTATTGGAAGAATATTTTTTCCTCCTGATCAGGATGAGCACCCATTTTACCAACAGATAAATATTTCATACTAAACTTACTTATTCAGCAAAAATATTTTATAACTAAACTTATACAAGATAAATGTACTATATATGAGAGGGGGGAAGTACAAAAATGTTATTTGCTTTTGTTTTTCTTTATTTAGAACAATTTATGACATTACTATTTCATAACCACAAATGAACTGAACGTAAAACCACTATGTTTAATAAATAAGAGTATAATAAAACTCACCTCACAATCTTCTTATTAAATGCAAAGTGCTGCAGCTGTCAATTATCATAACAGAAGTTTTAACTGTAACTCTGGTACTTTACACAAGTGTTAAATTACAATTTATTTTTTAGTCTCATTTTATGGTTTAAACTAACACAACATTGCACTTTTTTTTTTAGAATTTAGTACAAGATGTATCTGAAAGGTTTGGTGAATGATCCAATATGTTAAAAATTGCACTGGTTAGGACGGGGCAACCATGCATATGCATTGAGACGTGTTAGCAAGGGTCCCATCTTGCAAATTACTCAAGAAGACTTAGGTGCAATTTTCACTTATTTCAGGTACCTGGGCATAAGCCTCATGCTGAGTATAGCAATGTAGTGCTGTGCATAACTTTTTTTATATGGCAATAATATGAAAAAAAAGTTTTTAATTGAGAATAAAATTTCTCAGTAGGTGCATAGATAAGCCTTCGCATAAACTTTCGCTACTCCAGATAAGATGCCATAGGTATAATGGCATGAGAAGCTACTGTTAAAAATGTATTACACATCCCAATATCATATTCAAAAGCACTAAATCGATGTTCCTAACTGCATACACTAATTCTTTTTTTCAACCTCTGCATGAAAGAGGCATCAAAGATTTCAAATGTGATTGGCAAGAGAGTAATTGATGAAACCAATCTAAATAAAACTAAAAACACGTTAAAAAATTAATGAACAATTATCCCATTGCTGTTTTTTCTGAATTCTTTGCATACATTCAATAATGCACTATAGATTGTCAGTACATAAAAACACTGTTTTAAAAACCTGGATTATCTTGACTGGCTAAATGTATAAAATTTCTTAAAGTTAAAAAAGAAACTGATGGGGAGGTTCATTTTTGGAATTTATTGCCATTAATGAACTTCAGCAATACAACAGGCATTGCTTGAGAGTGATCCAGTTTGTCCATAACTATTTTGATAACATTAAACAATGAGAAAACTATATTCTTCAAAATAACACTGATATTTAACTAATTTAATATAAATACAACTAGAAACATATAAATAGGTACTTTAACATTTTAGTTAATGCAAAAGTTCATTTATGAACAGTTTATAATGTTTCTGGAAATCATTTGGTTGATGCTGTACCCTTAATATTGTGGGCATTCTTCATTGGAAGAGAATATGCCAAAGTAAAATTTTAAAATTAGACAAAAAAGCAATGTTAATGCGAGTGTTTCTAGAGATTTTTTCCCCATAAGGAAAAGAAAATAATTCTGCAGAATTTTTTTTTTTTTTTTTGCTACTGAAGAAGGACATATGTTTGATCACCCTCAAAATCAAGGCAAAACAAAGTTTGCTTTTTTGTTTAATTATAAATGGTGCACTAAAATCAAAACTGATATGGTTGACAACTTAAACCCTTACTTGGAGACATTTTTTTTGTCACTTAACAATTTTTATAATCTATTCTGACCTTACTGAGCTTGCCTTTTATTTGAGAACTTTATTTCAGTTTAAAAAGGTTTTATTCTGTACTATTTTGATTATATTAACTGAACTGTTGATCACAATAGGCAATGTACTTTTCATGTTTTTGTTTACAAATGGGCAGGACTTTAGCAATTCTATAACAATATTTGAATAACATTAACCGCCGTCTACTGTAATGAAGACTTTATAATGTAAGGAAGAAGAGTTTGCCAATTTACCAAACAAATTTCAGATTTTTCAAAGGGTTTTGAGGAATTTCTTAATATTGAATGGGATAAATAATACAGTCAAAAGTCGTGAATTCAGACACCCATAATCCGGAATGATCTATAATTCGGACCTCAAAGCTAAAATCTTTCAGCGCATGCGCCGCGTTGCCGCATGCACATAGGCGTTTCACGCATGCGCACAAGACATTTACGACTGCGCATATGCATCTGCGCAAGCGCAGAATACGTTTTTGCGTGCGCGTTTAACGTATAACAGACGGTATAAGCTAAAATTATCTAATTATCTATTATTGATGATTGCATTGTTCCTTAATCTTCGAATTGGATCCGGCTCATTATTTTTTGCAGACTGTAAGAACAATTTTATAAAAGTAAGCTTGAACCTTTCGATTATGTCAAATAGAATTTCCGATGCTGGAGCTCCCAAAGGATCTAAAAAACGAAAGCATGTTTCGATGTCCATGAAACAAAAAACGAATTGCTACAAAAAATGGATAAAGGCATATCCTTTGTTTATTTAACCGTTCCGAAATCTGTTTATCAATTTCACGCTGCTCTGTGCGGGGGGGGGGGGGCTTCGCGGCGCAATGAACTGGAAGTTGATCCGTCAGCACTATCCTTATCTTCAGGGCAGATGTTTTTATTTTATTCGGCTTATAATTCCTTACTAAATGTAGTATTTAATCTCGATGTACTCCGTCTTTGATATGATTTAAATCAAATTCCTCGTCATTATAAATATCACGAATACAAAAATCAAATAGTTTTCTGGTTGCAATTTTCTAATTTCGGCTATGTATGCTTTACGCATGCGCGCGTTGAAAGAAATGTTTAATAAAGTAAACAAATAAATATTAAGCTTCTTTTTTTGTAAATTTTGATACCCTTTAGATCGTAATTGCTCATTATTTTATAAATTACGGTTTCATATTTTTAATTTTATAATTTCTGCATGCCATCTTACCAGATTTAAACTGATGATCTATAATCTGGAAAAATCGATAATCCGGAATCTCCAAAGTCCCGACGAGTCCGGATTAAAGACTTTTGACTGTATAATTTAAAAACAGAATATTAAAAAAAAGAGGTTGGAGAATGAATTGGTCTCCTAACTCTTTATAATTTAAGGTTTCCTTTATGGTGTAAATAAATTGAATAAAATACGAAAACTAGAAGTGATTTTTATGGAATTAAAGCACAAATTACTTGAAAATTAACTATAGTAAAATAAATTTAGCAAAATGACAAAGCAAAAAATACCTGAATATATAAAGATTTCGGTGGCTGCAAATGCAAAAATAAATCTATGCCTACACCTCCAATACTTGTCATATAATTAGCCACTGTACGATTGTAAGAAGTAAACCAATTTACCTGCAAAAAAAGCAATATATTTCAGAATAAAACTGTATGCTTTTAAGAAATTACTGAGATACAGATCAAGGGATAGTTTCATCTTGCATAAAATTTAAGAAAGAAATTATGTTAACTTCTACAAAATCCACTGCCAATTGAAATTGGAAATTATATTAATTTCTACAAAATCCACTGTCACTTGAAATTGGAAAAAAAGGATGAAGACATATAAAAGTTAAACTGGAAAATATAAACAGGCAGGTGGGAGACTAAGTCCGCTAACTTTTAAGACATTTTTCATACAATTTTTTCATTATTTTGAAAAGGTTTTACCGCTTATGTCATTTTAAAACTATCTTATATAAATAACTACTGCTTAGAGTCATGAACTTTCACAATAATTTTTAACAAAAAATATATTTTTACGATTTCAGAACAATATATTGACACTACACATAAAAAATATAACTAATTGCAAACTCACATAAAGCACATTAAAGTGATAATTCAGAGGGATAATTAAATTTTTTAATTAAAAAAAATATTGAAGATTGTTCTATGACAGGACACTAGATAATATTCTGAATTCAATGCAAAAGAGTGTAATCTTTGCAGGCAAGAAAGAAAGTTTTTTTGGTACTTTCTGATTATTTAAACTCTCACTGTAAAGTCTTTAAAAAAATAGTCATGGGGCAAAGCAATATGCAGTGGAAATACAAATAGTTATGTGGCAACCCAAAAAATCACCCAAAAGTATTCATACTGCAAATCAGGCATATGGTACAGACATACCTGTACCACATGTCTATTTTGCCTGGTGTGCAGTGTCGGTTGTATAGATGCCACGTTTGTGCAATTCTCTGATTTTTTTAAAGAAAAACATATTGCTCTGTACAAAGGAAGAACACCAGCTCAAAAGAATTTCAGGATTTCCTGAAAAAGGTTAGTGTTTTATAACTGATGTTTCTTGCTTTATTAATTACTCTTTTATGGAGTTCTTAGTGCACTCCTATTTTTAAAATGGCTCTTGCCTTCTGCAAAAAATGAGATGTGAGTAAGTTCTTAAATTTCTTCTAAATCAACAAATTTGCAAAATTTTAGTGATGTGGATAATAAAAATGTATCATTTATCTTATGCAGCAATAATTAAATTAAAGAAAGGCCTTTCCCCATCAGTCGCTAAGCGGTTGAATATTGCTAAATACTGGTAGTTTGTCCTGGATTAAAACCCAGACAAATTGGCTGCATGGTTGGGTTTTGTGATTTTCCCCATCTGTATATGAATCTTCCCTTAGAAAGAACTCTACAACGGTATCTCTCCTTTTAGGCAGATAGCTCTCATGTGCTTTGGTATATTCAAAGAATCATAATTGAAAAAGCTATTAAAAATGAAGATATTAAATAGAAAGTCAAATCACGAAAAAGTTGGCAAGAAGAAACTATGTGAAAAATACATTTAAAGCCCCCACACAAATTTTGCATTACTTTTGACTTGTACTGATGTAACCACAGCTTAATGATCTGTAACATTAAAAAAGAATTCTTTATATACCTCATGAAAAATAAAATAATTTTCATGCATGAAAAAAACTTAAAGTTATGTATATTATTTCTTTACTTTTGGTACAATACTAAAGCCATCGGCAACAACAACAACAAGAAAACATTCTCTAATTTCACAACAAAATCCTGCAAAAACCCAATATAAGAAGGAAGAACTAGTTCCCACAATTTTTTTCTTTTTTGTGAATAACTTTTCATGAATTTCATAGCTTCCATCGATTCTCACATTAAATCAAAGGAACTGGTACATACCTCTCTCATATAATTATTCCAGCTATTGTGTTGTGATTAATTTGAAGAAAGTTTTGGTTTATAAAATGAAATAGATGTTAAGTCCTGACATTATACAGCTGTAACAAGAGGACTGCCTGATATAACAAACCATGTTTGCGTTCGGATACTTTTTACTCCTATCAGGAACGAAGGCTGAATAGCTATATTTTGACTTATAGTCACATTTAACTTTATGAGGTGGTTATTCAAACACATTTCTTTGTGAAGAATTACATAGTTTTTCTTTGAGAAGAATGCCTTTCTTGAAGATACAGGATAGTCACTTGTTCATCACTTTGCAAATTTTAAGTTGTGAAATCTATTGCAGTTAGAAAGAAGGAACATTCATTAGATGAAAAACATTGTTGACCAAGTGAGGGATATGAAAACAATCCAGGAAAGAAACCAAACCAAATTAGTGACACCTGATGCTCAAGAAGTATGCCCGAACAGAGAAAGCCCTAAATGGTAGCTGCTATAAAAGTACTTGCTTTTCAACCAACAAAACCAATGCACATAACTTTCTTAAATGAGGGCATTTTAGAAATAAAGTATGTCTTAAAAAGTAAAGAGAGTTACATAAAAATATTCACAATTTTGGAAGTTGCATGAAATATTATTATTACTAGCAGCTTCACTGCCAGCCTTCGTCTGGCTTTTAAATGTACCGGAAAAATAGCTGAAGGGAACACCAAACGTTAAATTTAAAAACTGGGTAGAATTTTGCTCTACAAAACAACTTCATAAAAAAAAAGTTATTGCATATAACAAAATTACAATGAAATAAGCAATATCCCTTAATACAAATATTAATCATCCTAAAAAATAAATTAACCAACTTTGCAAAATCTTAAGAACTCAAATGGTATAAACGAGGTTAAGAATTTTGTTTCCTAAAAAAAATCACTCAAAACTTTTCAATATCTTAAAAACAGTGAAATAAGCAATTAAATAACATAAAAGAATACAAAAAACAAAAGATTCTGAAAAGCAAAGTATAATTAATAATTTTTATCTTATATTTTCAAGACAAAAAAATTACAATGAAATAAGCTATATCCCTTAATACAAATATTAGTTACCCTAGTAAAAAAATTAACCAACTTTCTGTTAAAAAAAGATCATGCAAAACTTTTCGATATGTTACAAACAGTGAAATAAGCAAAAAATAACAAGAAAGCAACTCAAAAAACATAAAATTCCATGCAGAATTTTATTCTGCAGAACAACTTTATCAAAAAAAATCAATAAAAATGTATTATATATATACAGTCAAAAGTCTCCAATCCGGACTCGGTGGGACTTCGGCGATTCCGGATTATAGATCATCAGTTTAAATCGCGTAAGATGGCATGCAGAAATTCTAAAATTAAAAATATGAAACCGTAATTTATGAAATAAAGAGCAATTATGATCTAAAGGTTATCAAAATTTACAAAAAAAAAAAAAGCTTAATATTTATTTGTTTACTTTATTAAACTTTTCTTTCAATGTAAGTTGTTTAAGTTGCTTCGTTTCATGTGCTAATACTTTCTCTTTAATTCTATAAACAGACATAATTTCTTGTTCGGTTACAAAGTTCCGCTGTTCAAGTCCCGTTAATTGCTGTGCCAAGAATACCGACTAACTTGTCAATCGAAATTTTTTCGTTTTCACTAACCTCTCTGTCACATTCTTCATGTCTTTATCCATTTTTTGCAGCAATTCCACTTTCTGTTTGATGGACATCGAAACATACTTTCGTTTTGTACGATCCTTTGGGAGCTCCAGAATCGGAAATTCTATTTGACATAATCGAAAGTTCAAGTTTACTTTTATAGTATTACTCTTACAGTCTGCAAAAAATAATAAGCCGGATCCAATTTGAAAATTAAGGAACAACGCAATCATCAACATTAACTGAAATAGATAATTAGATAATTTTAGCTTTATACCATCCGTTATACATAAAAAGCGCACGCGAAAACGTATTCTGTGCTTGCGCACATGCAAATGCGCAGTCGCAAGAGATCTTACGCGCATGCGTAAGCGCCTATGCGCATGTGTCAACGCGGCGCATTCGCAGAAAGTTTTTAGCTTTGAGGTCCGGATTATAGATCATTCCGGATTATGGATGTCCGAATTAACGACTTTTGACTGTATATATAAATGACAAAGAAATATGCCAATCTCTTAAAAACAGTGACATAAGAAATACGATGAAAAATTGTTGCCAAAGCCATATTTCTAAAAGAATGAAACTATTCAAAATGATGCGATTTCATCAAAAATCTATCAACAACAATAAGACAGGAAAACTGTTGCCAAAATCACATTTTTAAGGATGTGAGAAGTGTACTCGGAAGCTTCATTTAAAAAAATTTTTTAAAATACAAAATATTATCATTTTTCCAAAATTCTTTTTGTAAAAGCAGTCACAAGGATGAAAGTTTAACGTGTCTAAAAATCAAAGAAAAATAAGCTATATATTTTTAAAAATAAACTTTTTTAGATTCCCATTGAAAAGATGTTAAGCTCCCTTTGTTAAATAAATTCGTATTTAATCAATTCATTGAAACATGAAATTTATTTTAAGTTCGTAAAATAGCTAAGTGCCTACGTTTCATGACGATGTGAAAATGGAATGTGTAGAGTAAAATCTCGCTTTCCTATAGCCCGTTATGTCTCAAAATGACGCGATTTTGTCACAAAACATAAAATTTAAAAAATTCTAATTCGAATTTCGAAAAAATCGCTTCGAGGTGCACTGGCTCTTGTCTAATGCACATATGTACCAAATTTCGTAGCCGTGGGTCTATTAGTTTACGCGCAGTGCAAACGAAAGACACAGACAGACTCTTTCTTTTATTATATGTAGAGATTATTTGAAGAAGTTTTACATTCCTAAAAAAGACAAGCAATTATGTATGCATTCTGAGGGCTGTTACAAATATATTACTTGAAGCTAACTAAAAACAATGGAAAGTATTGACACAACAAGATTTGTGCAGCAATGAAGTCAGATATTATAGTATATATGCAAAATCTTAATAAATAACTTGAATACATGTAGCTGATACTGTTTTATTAATTTTAAATGTTATTCAAACAACACAAATACTTCATTAATTTTATGTGCATATATATATGTAGAATATGGAAGTGTAGACTATGGAATTTATGTATATGGCACATTCTCAATTCTGAAATAAAAAATTAGACTTTAATATTTATTAATAAAAGTAAACAAGGAAGTTCTTTATGTAGCTTTTTAACTTCTTTTTATCATTTTATAAAACATTCTATGAAAAAAATAAAATTTTTCTTAAAAAATAAGTAAGTTATATAGAATTATAATGTAGGACTAAAAGTGAAGGACTTAAGTTTTCTATAAAAATAATTTTTCTGAAAATTTAAGTTTACCTCTGCTTCCGATAGGCAAGAACGAACATCAGATGGTAAAACTGCTCCAAAGCCCCATCTTATATCTCTAATCATTTGCAGTCTATTGTACCTAAAATTTAATTTATGTTTAAGTGTTTATTAGAAAATACTAAAAATTATAAAATCTGAGAGTGCTACACAGAGCTCATTACATGAAAAATATCATTAATTCTAAGATCTTTTAGCACTTTATGATTAACTGCACCATTGCCGAAAAGCCACAAAAAAGTATTTATGCTCAAATACACTCATGTCCATAAATTAAGGATAATTCATGCGGAAATCGAACTCTAAAATAAATATATCACATGTAAAATCACTACACACATCTTCAAGAATCATATGCAAATTTCAGAAAGTAACCAGATGACACCGATGGTACGTCACAATGACGAGAGTGTAAGAGAGATATATAAGGAATACAGGCAAAGAAGTAAAATTGTTACATTTAAAGCATTTCAATGCAATAACCGAATAGTTATGACACAAAGGACACATTTGGATGATTTTTTATGTGGTAGAATTATCGGCCATCTGGAATGTGGACGTACCAGTATCAGTAGTATCAGATGAACTTGGAACTGCCCAGAGTGTCATCTCCAGGCTTTGGCAACGATTCCAAGATGATGGTAATGCGAGTAGACGTTACAGCACAGGTCGCCCCAGAGTTACAACGCCGAATGAGGACTGGTATTTGGCAGTTACTGCCAAAAGAAACAGGCGGAGCGCTTCCTCAGACCTGTCTCGTCAGCTCTCTTCAGCCACTGGTACGACAATTTCAAGCCAGGCGCTTAGGGCAGATTGGTCTATATGCTTGGAGGCCTGTCAGATGCGTTCCACTTACTGCAACTCACTGTCGCCTGCGGTTAGCCTGGAGTAGAGAGCATGCATTGTGGACACCGCAACAATAAGCTTGTGTGATGTTTTCCGACGAGTCCAGGTTTAGCTTGCAGTCTGATTCTCCCCGGACTTTCATATGGAGAGCTCCAGGTAACCGTTACCACCAAGAAAACATCATTGAACGACACCGTTACGGTGGTGCAGGAGTGCTCATTTGGGGTGGAATTATTCTGGGTTCCAGAACTGACCTGCATGTTCAAACTGGAACCAGGACAAGCCAAATTTATCGGGAAGTCATTCTGGAACAACATGACAACGCTCGTCCTCACCGTGCAAATATCGTAAGCAAATGCCTTCAATCAGAGGATATCACCCGTATGGACTGGCCAGCATTCTCACCGGACTTGAATCCAGTAGAGCACGTGTAGGACATGCTCGGCCGACGGTATGCAGGCCATCAACCTCCTCCTACATATCTACCGGAGCTTCGGAGAGTATTGCTTTTTGAGTGGTGTAATATCCCCCAAGATCAGATCGATAATTTGATACTCAGCATGCCTAGGCGTTGTATGGACTGTATTGCATCGTCTGGGAGACATACAATGTATTAACAAACATACCAACCATGTAATATTAGCTTTTTGTAAATAGGGTTTTTTTTTTTTTTTTTTTTTTTTGTAATTTGCTCCAGGGAGAAAAAATCGCTAATTTTTTTAATAATATCAAACATATAGCATCTTTTTTGCTCTTTACCTTTTTTTTAATAAATAAGCTTTACAAATAAATGAAATTTGTTTTGCTTCTAACTGTTCCTTTGCCTGATTTCGCATTATCCTTAATTTACGGACATGAGTGTAGTTATGTGGCGAACTATGATGTTGCCAAAAAGAATTTTTTTAGCAACCCAAATGTGCACACCACATTTCAGTTTTGAGTGGTGTGCAAAAGTCATTTGGAGATAAGCTTGTGCAATTTTCTGATTTTTTTTTTTTTTTTTTTTTCTCTTTTTTTGAAGTGGAAACGGATGTAGATTGGGGGGGGGGAATCAGAAGGTTTTTCTTGGAAAAGGTAAGCATGTTATTACTGATATTTCTTGCTTTTTTGTTGTTTCTAATTTAACTTAACCTAATCAGAACAAGCCTATGTATTTTATCAGGACAATGAGCACAAAACTGCATCTGTCATTGAGCACCATATAGGTGACAGTACGACTTTGCTCAGTGGACAGGTACAAACGTCTCTCACTCCTTTTTTTCTACCACCAAACCATTCAAAAGGCTTTCCAGATTCGACGTACATTATGAGTGCTTCTATGCCACCCAGACACTATGCCTTTACAAACATCTACATCTTCTTCAGGATTTGAATCTGGGCTCTTCAGTACAGTCGTCAATTATCACTAATCACTATCCCATTTGGGCGGCTCTTTCTTTTTAAATTTTATTAATTGATTACTCTTTTATGGAATTATTAATGTTAATTTTGAAATTGGCTCTTTCCTTTGGTGAAAAATTAGTCATTAATAAATTCCGAAATGCTCTTCGGAAGGATTTCTTAAAAAAAGTTATTTTATTACCAATGTTTCTTGCATTCTGAGTTTTAGTGATTGATTACTATTTTATGGAATTCTTAATGCACTGCCATTTTGAAAATGGCTCTTGCCTTCGACACATTAGCTTGGCAAGAAACTAATCAATGAGTTCACAGATGTACTCCAAATTCAGCAATGAGTTTGTGGCTTTCAGTGGAGTCAGGGAATGCAGATAACCAGAAAGTACTGATTCCCCCCCCCATCCAAGTAAAATTAAAATTCAGAACTTATTTAGGCAATAAAATATGTATTTCTTATCACGATACATTTTAAATGCGCCATTAACAATTAGCCTCAATATTTTTATATCATTAGCAGAAGAAATAATGGTTGATCTTTACAATATGGTAACTGGTAGTTTGGCGACATTTTGGAGGCGATAAAGGTTACTACTGGTAATAATGTGAGCAGTACTCAGTTCCGATTACGCATTATTTTGTGTGAGGGAAATGAGAGATCATGGGATATGTCATGTGATATTAATGGACGAATTACGGTTCTTTAATTGGAAAAGGGGGGAAATCGGGAAAAATCTGGAAATTTTGTATTTGGCTTTATTCTGTGTTGTGTGAAACAGTGTTCGTGAATTTTTGGATCCCATGGCCGTAACTAAAGTGAATTCGAAATGGGTATTTATGTATGTATTAATATAATGTATGTGCTCATTATATTTTAAGTAGTGTTTTGAATTTAATTATATTTTTAATTAAATGATAGTTATATTGTGAATTTTATGTTTGTAGCAATTTGGTATACGTTTTAGTTGAGTAACGTGCATGGAAATAATTTAAATATTTGATACTAAGTATTTGTAATGCTTGCGGTATGAATTCGTTGGTGACGTTATAATGTAATAGATGATTTAGAGGTAAAAGTTTTGGATATTTTATTTATTTTATATGTGGAAATGTTCATATTTGGAAAGGGTAAATACTTTTTCGCGATCAGGTAATTTCATATATGTTCTTTTTTACCGGGTTTAAAGATTCAAAATTGTTCATGCATTTTCGTGAAATTTTTCAATTTATGAGAAAAAAAGCAGTGTACATGGATATGGTGAAGAGTGTGCGCAATGCCATTTTTGTGCAATTCTGGGATTTTTTTTTAAGTAAAAATAAGTCGGCGTGTACATGGTTTATGTGTATGTGTTATTTTGAAAAAACGCGTAAGGAGTATGGTTATTGTACACTTTTTCCCAATTTGCAGTGAATATTTGTCATGATTAAGCAGTTTTGTTAGATAAAATTTCTAGCATAAGTGTAATTCGGCTAGTAGATTGTTGGAAGAAGTGTTCAGTAGATAAAAAGAAAAGAAACATGTCTTTACTTCGTGAAGACAAAATGGCGGTGGGAAAAAAAAATAGAGGGTTGCTGTAGGAGAGTTGGTCGCCAAATTTTCGCCAAAAAACGCCAAGTTACCATAATGTAAAGATCAACCGAAATAATAATAGCAAAATTCTAAATCTATAATGCACAATCACAATAGTAACCTATAACAGAGATGGCAAATCAGACATGGCTATGGACAATGACATGAGAGCATTCATTACATCTAGCAAACAAATATTCTCATTATTATAGTTGGATTTAATTTTTCCATTTTTGAGAACAAGAGTTCTCTGAACTATTTCATTTTTATTAAATTATTTTGTTTATATTCAACACTATTGCACAAGTCCAAAAATAGTTATGATCAGTAAGCAATGGTTAAGTAATTAAATATGTACAGTAGTTTTTTTTTTTTTTTTTTTTTTGTTTAGAAGACACATGGCAACATAGAAACATTAAGTATATTCTGAATATCTTGAAATACCAGGACTAAAATGTTTGCCATTACAGACATACAAAAAATATAATCATGCCGTTAAAAGAAATTTACAACTAACATAGACTACAATTACAGCCTAGCAAGCTCAGAACTATGTGTTGAATAAATTCTGAAAGTCTAACAGTGATTTATTTGCTCATTGACTTTCATTACATTACCCCCCCCCCCAAAAAAAAACTAATTTGATGACAATTTTTAACAACCTAAGCTCTTCCAATTTTTTCCAAAGAGCAATTTTAGTTCAATACCAAGAAGCTTTATTACAGACAGAGCATGGAAGAAAGGTTAATCTCATATTAAGAATAGATTTAATTTTATTCAAATCTTTTAATATATAGTACATGACGAATGAAGAACAGAGGTAAAACAATAATTGAACAAAGTCAATTTTTTTTGGGGGGGGAATATTTATTTCCCATATTTAGAGAATTTTTCTTTCTTTTTTTTATGCTAGGTAAAAAGTCACAAAGAACTAAAACAGGTTACAAACAGTAGAACTGAGAACAGAGACTAAAGTCATTGCCTAAAGAGTGTTCTTCACTCCCAGTATCTTGACTCTTCTGTTAAGATCATGAACAGCACCACATTGAAGCGTGGCCTTCGAGATAACATGGCCTGGATAGCTACGAGTGACGTAACGAAAGGCGTCCGATCCTTCTGTGACTTTCTTTGGTTCAGATTTGAATGTGAGCGTTTCGTTCAATGTTTTTAATAATGCATAATAATTAAATTTCGAGAGACTTGACGGGAAAATGTATATAAAAGGTCGTATAGTCATTTGCAGTTAAGATTAATAACTTAATAAATATTTTTTACGAAATATTCACAAAATTTTCTAAGCCATGTTTTAGGTTATCTTGTGCATTTTTTTTTTACACTGTATTGTAATAATTTGTTAGGATACACTCAAAAAAGAAAGTTTTGAAATAAGTAAATAAAAAGACTGTTATTTATTAACATAAAAATGTCTTTACAGTTTGAGAAGGATAAGAATGAAAGGAATGAAAAGATTTAGCATGGTTGATGGTGGTGGACAGATGGCGTGGTCGTATATAGGTGTTGGAAATGCTTTGCCGCTAAGTGATTTACAGTTTTGGAACGCAGCCTTCATACTCTTTGTCCATGAAACTTATTTAGAGAAAATGAATTCTTCCTAAACTATTGCTGGAGCATCTGTCTGTTAACAGAGAAGAATATGATGAACATTTACACAACAAAATTCATCCTACAGGACAAAAGATATACTTTTCCCCCCTAAAAAAATTATTAATCATCTGAAAAAAAGAAAAGTATGAATTGTAAAACATGTCACAGAAAAGGTTTAACAATATTCCTCATAAGAAATATATATCATATAACCAAGTTATTGAGAAATAGCTTATATAAATAAAATTAAAATAATAATAATAAAAATCTTTAAGAAATATATGCAGTCAAAAGTCTTTAATCCGGACTCGTCGGGACTTCGGCGATTCTGGATTATAGATCATCAGTTTAAATCTGGTAAGATGGCATGCAGAAATTATAAAATTAAAAATATAAAACCGTAATTTATGAAATAAAGAACAATTATGATCTAAAGGGTATCAAAATTTACAAACAAAAAATTGCTTGTTTTATGTGATAATACTTTCTCTTTAATTCTATAAACAGACATAATTTCTTGTTCAGTTACAAAGTTCTGCTGTTCAAGTCTTATAGTTGCTGTGTCGAGAATACCGACTAATTTGTCAATTGAAATTTTTTCGTTTTCAATAAACTCTGTGTCACTTTCTTCAGTATCGGAAGCAAATTATAATGGCGAGGAGTTTGATTTAAATCATATCAAAGACGGAGTACATCGAGATGAAATACTACATTTAGTAAGGAATTATAAGCCAAATAAAATAAAAACATCTGCCCTGAAGATAAGGATAGTGCTAACAGATCAACTTCCAGTTCATTGTGCGCAGCGACATCCCCCCCCCCTGTAGAGCAGCGTGAAATTGATAAACAGATTTTGGAATGGTTAGAAAAACAAAGGATATGTCTTTATCCATTTTTTTGCAGCAATTCCACTTTTTGTTTGATGGACATCGAAACATACTTTTGCTTTGTAGATCCTTTGGCAGCTACAGCATCGGAAATTCTATTTGACATAATCGAAAGTTCAAGCTTACTTTTATAAAATTGCTCTAACAGTCTGCAAAAAATAATAAGCCGGATCCAATTCGAAGATTAAGGAACAACGCAATCTGCAACATTAAAATGAAATACATAATTAGATAATTTTAGCTTAGCTTATACCATCCGTTATACATTAAACGCGCATGCGTAAATGTATTATGCGTGAACACATCATGTGTTGGCGCATGCGCAGAAAGTTTGTAGCTTTGAGGTCTGGATTATGGGTGTCCGGATTAACGACTTTTGACTGTATTTGTCTTTTTTTTCTAAAACAAGAAATACAGTAAAATGTTAAGATATTACAAGGAATGTTAAATTATTCATAATAAAAAATAACTGCACTTTAATGAACATTTCCTGGTTATTAATTTTGATTTTCAATTCTTAAATCTTGCTGCTTCATTGAAAGTTAACGATACAAGTGAGAAGTACATTGTTTTATTTAATGACATTCAGGAAACTAGATTTCCCTCTGTACTTTCATTTTCTCTGAACAATTAAACATCAGGTTAGTCTTCATGGATGTTGCACCAAAACTGGTATGTTTCTAAGAAGCTAAAAGCTTGTATGCAGATTTTGATTTAATGTCATTGTAAGAAATTAAAATGGATGAATCCATTTTGGAGAGCAATGACAAATATCCTTTTCCTTCAGAATAATTTTGCTATTGAAGAAAAGGAATTCATGTAAACAGAAATGGACTTAAAATTTATTTAACCTCTTTTATTGAATGAATGCCAAATAGAGGCGTAACTACAATTTTCAGTGTCCCTTCCTGTTTGTTGAAATGCAATGGAGAAAGGAAAGAAAATTTTATGGATGCAGCCTCTGGGAACAAGTGTCCCCTGTTGCCTCCGATACAAACTACAGATGCTAAACAAAATTTGAAATAAAATTATGACACTATAAATAGATTTGCATCTCTTGTATCTGTTATTAACAAAAGTCTGTCTTATACCTGTAGCGTGCATACCAGCGGCCGGGCGGTAAAGTCGCTGAACACTGGTAGTTCGGTCTGAGGTTTGAATCCCGCGAACGGGCTGCCTGCATGGGTGTTTTCGTGGTTTTTCCCATGTGTCATGTGTATACGAGCCAGTTTCCCTTAGAAAGTCCTCCACGAAGGCATTCCTCCCCTTAGGCAAATAGCCCTCAAGGCTTTGCCGTAATTAAATAGCCTAAGCCTATACCTGTACCGTTAAACAGAATCAAGGAAACATTATAGATCTTTTATCATATTCCTGACAAAACTAAAAATAATGAATTGGTCTTGACATTTACGATATATGCCTTAATATGATAAGAAATGTCGACTACTGAAAACGAAGTAGGTACTTTTCCATTATGCACTTGTCACACCTTTTTAGCCCCTGTGAATGAGAAACCAAATACACGCTGACTGCCAACAATAGCATCATCTGGAGACTATGTGTGTATCAACAGAACAATTAAACACATACACACATATTACTACAATAATGCTGTCAAAATGTGTGGCAGATGCATAATGTAAATTGACCAAGAAATAAAAACAAAAGTACTTACAAGTAAGCTAAAATGCATCTCTTATCTCTTAATAATACAGCATGGCGTAATTGAACAGCTGCATGGCACTGCACTTCACCATTGATTGATGCATTTCTGCCCAAAAAATTAAAATACGAATGAAAGTAGGATTGATTATGAAACATACAATATATTTAAAGCAGCTCTGAAGAAGCTAGCAGAATATTATAATTTTAGCTATAAAATAATGGTTAAATGAAACCATTACAAAATTAATATAATTAAGAACTTTAAAAAATATTATGTTTAAGAACTAAGGAATTTTTAGGGTACTCTTCCATTTTGCCGGCGCAGGCGATAAAGTCGCCAATAATGGTACAACTGGTGCCAAATGGAATATCCTCACTGGTAACCTTTTACGCCTCATTTTCAAAACATGTCGTAGCCATTTCTTGTCAGACTGATTGTCTCTTTCAATACTGGCATACAATTACATCAAATTTTTACCAGATAGTTCAATTTTATGCCCTACGGCCATTTGCAGTAATTAAGTCAATGAGGATGAAATCATACTGCTCACCCGAAGGCGAAAATATAGAAAAGGCAAAGTCAAGGGCTAAATTCATCAATTCTAATGAGAATGCACTAAAGAAGTATGGCACTGCGGTTTTAGATATATTGAGTAAGCTATTCGTATGAATTGAAATAATTCTTGCATTTAAACTTGTATTCAAAACTAAGATTTAACTTGATATTAATGTAAATAATTACTGAGAGAATTAGATTTGGTTGATCTTTACATTATGGTAACTTGGCGTTTTTTTTTGGCGAAAATTTGGCGACCAACTCTCCTACACCAACCCTCTATTTTTTTTTCCCGTCGCCATTTTGTCTTCACGAAGTAAAGACATGTTTCTTTTTTTTATCTACTGAACACTTCTTCCAACAATCTACTAGCCGAATTACACTATGCTAGAATTTTATCTAACAAAACTGCTTAATCATGACAAATATTCACTGCAAAATTGGGAAAAAGTGCACAAACCATACTCCTTACGCGTTTTTCAAAATAACACATACACATAAACCATGTACACGCCGACTTATTTTTACTTAAAAAACATCCCAGAATTGCACAAAAATGGCATTCCGCACACTCTTCACTATATCCATTTACACTGCTTTTTTCTCATAAATTAGAAAAATTTGCACGAAAATGACAATTTGTGAATCTTTGAAGTCGGTAAAAAGGAACATGTATGAAATTACCTGATCGCAAAAAAGTATGTATACTATGCAAGCTTTTGATACATTTCCAGCATATAAACATATACCCTTATCCAAAAACTTTTACCTCTAAATCATCTATTAAATTATACACGTCACCAACGAATTCATACCGCAAGCATTACAAATACTTAGTATCAAATATTTAAATTATTTCCATGCACGCTTACTTCAACTTAAACGTAATACCAAATTCCTACAAACATAAAATTCACAAAATAACTATCATTTAATTAAAAATACACTAAACCATGTACACGCCGACTTATTTTTACTTAAAAAAACATTCCAGAATTGCACAAAAATGGCATTGCGCACACTCTTCACTATATCCATGTACACTGCTTTTTTCTCATAAATTAGAAAAATTTCACGAAAATACATGACAATTTTCTCAATCTTTAAACCCGGTAAAAAGAACATATATGAAATTACCTGATCGCGAAAAAGTAATGAACATTTCCACATATAAAATAAATAAAATATCCAAAAACTTTTACCTCTAAATCATCTGTTACATTATACACGTCACCAACAATTCATACCGCAACCATTACAAATACTTAGTGTCAGATATTAAATTATTTCCATGCACGTTTACTTCGTTTACTTCAACTAAACGTATACCAAATTCCTACAACATAAAATTCACAAAATAACTATCATTTAATTAAAATATAATTAAATTCAAGAACACTATAAAATATAAATGAGCACATACATTAAATTAATACATACATAAATACCCATTTCGAATTCACTTTAGTTACGGCCATGGCATCCAAAAATTCAGGAACACTGTTTCACACAACACAGAATAAGCCAAATACAAAATTTCCAGATTTTTTCCCGATTTCCCCCCTTTTCCGATTAAAGAACCGTAATTCTCCATTAATATCACATGACATATCCCATGATCTCTCATTTCCCTCACACAAAATAATGCGTAATCGGAACTGAGTACTGCTCACATTATTACCAAAGTGCCAGGTAGTAACCTTTATCGCCTCCAAAATGTCGCCAAACTATCAGTTACCATATTGTAAAGATCAACCTTAGATTTTTGTAGTGTAGTTTACGTGAGATGAGATCACTCGGGGTCATGTGAATCCATTTAGTTGGAATTATCCTGATCTGGCGAATCAGGATGTTGAACCATGAAAGCATAGTAAATTCTTAAATTAATGTCTTATTACAAATTTATTGTCTTTATTAATTGGCTTTTTATAAAATTTTAAATGATATTAAAATGTTTATGCCTTTAAGATAAAAAGTTGTTAGAACTAACATTTGTTAACATTTTTTATGTGTATACTGTTTCGTGTCGCCAATAAAGTCTGCTTGGCAAGATTTGCGCCGGCGAAACGGAAAAATATCATTTTTGGTTCCATTATTAGATTTCTAATGCTTAAATAAATGAAAAGTATGAAAGTCACTGGATTTAAATAGGGGGAGGGGAACACTAATACAATACTCACACATCTATCTGGTTTTCTTCAAAGAGAGCATTCATTTCTTCAAATACTTGCTTCATCACTTCATCCTATGAATTCAAAACTATCTTTCAGAATGTAAAAATATAATTGAAAAATCATACTTATTACTGAGTTACCATTCAAACATAGTCATCATCAAAGGATCAAATAAAGGTAATTAGAAATACTTCCCTCTAGGAGGAGGATACAGATATTTAAGTTATACTAAAAAATTTATTAAGGGAAAAAAAAAAAAAAAATAGAGATGTTTTGGAAGGAAAAAAAATTACACACAGATAATAATTTAATGTTATGATTTAAACATACATAAGTATTGTATAAAAATTTTTAATTACAATGTTCTTTTACCATAGTGAATGGAGGAATGAGAGAAAATAAGCTCGTTCAAAAAATCAAATTTGGCAAAATTTATGTTTAGACTGATGCTTGTTTCAGAGAATCTACACATTTGGAGAGAGACTGACAAAGCTATTATTATAGTATTAATTATAATATTTGGATAAATGTAATTTTATCAAGAATAATCATATATTCTTGACATTATCACACATTCTCAATATTAAATTATCATTTTTTATTTCATAAATCAAATTTCTAAATAATTATTAGTTTTTATTATTATAATCATCAAGAAAAGAATTTTAAGAACCTACAAATGCTCATTAGTTAAAATTTTTATAATGACAAAGATTTCTAGTAGCCTTATCTGCCCAAGCTATATACATATGTCTTGGGCAGTCATAGGTGTCACCTATCAAGTCTTAAAATTATTTATTTTATCAGGCAGTTGGTTTGGTCTTCGTATCGTGCATTTTTACTTTGGGGAGGGTATGTATGTTCTAGCAGATACGTAAGTGAATATATAAAAAATTCACTTCAATAGCTGTCCAATATAAAAACAAAGATGTTAAAATGAGCTATTTTTGCTTTTTGTTCAAGAAAAATAATTAATATTAGATTTAATATCATCGCTTACTAGAACTAAATATCTCTGCTAAAAATATTTTATTAAAATTTAAAAAAAATTAAAGCCAAAGGACTGCAAAACAAATTTCAAAGTTATCCATTCAATATGACAGTAAAACATTTATATATGATAGTAGAAAATTTTATTGCAGTTATATTATTAAAAACTCTGCAATGACGTTTATCTAAAAACAGTGTTGAACTTAAATGAATTAAAATTGTATTTTAAATATGCATATCGTTTCTTCAAGGAAGTAAAGTTTTATACTTGGATAGGATTCAAGTAATCACATCTTTGCATTTGTTTTATAAGATCAAGAGCTTTATCACCTAGCATGTTTAATTACAGACTAAATTTAAATCATTCATCAAATTGTATGAGTAAACTGCTATACTTAAAGTACGGAACACAGTAACATTTATATATTTTTAAACACTGTATGAAATCAAGGCCAAACTTAGACTTCATTATTATTTTTGGCGGGTAATAGTACGATTACGATGATAGGACAAAGAATAGACGTTTTTTGGATAGGCTGTTCAATGATTAACTGCTGGAAATCTCCGTAAAGACGTTCAAATAATAAACCCTGTAAAAGTCAGTTTAAGGAGAATTTAAAATTTAGATTTTTAAAAATAAAATTATTTAAATCAAAATGCCACAGTAATTCATTTCCAGCATTAAATTAAACGACGTAATTTATCTAAAAATTATTGGCATCATATTTAAATCATAATATTAACAACATGATGTAATATGTCCGCGTGTTGCAAGGCATTTGGCGGTTTTTAGGTATTATTTCCTTTTAAATTCTCAAGTATGTTTTCATGGCTGTTGGATACTGTTTCTAAATTCGAACAGTTCAGTGTTAAATGATCGTATTACACCAAATTGTGTTTTTCTCAAGTATATCAGTTTTAGAATAGGCTTGATTTTATTATTAGAATAGGCTTGATTTTATTATTATTTTAAAACATAAGAAATGAAATTTGTGTGTTAATACGCGTCAATACTTGGCTAAAGTAAAGAGTATTTCTCTGCAAGATAACGAAATTAGTACTTCGCACCCGTTTATATTTATAGATGCAGTAACAAAGTATTCTGAATTTGAAAACTTCTAAATTAATGAACTGCTCAGTTCTCAAATACTTGATGGGCTGTGCTAGAAGCAGGCTTCCTGAAACATTGTTTTCCGTAGTAAATTCAAGAAAAATGTGAGACTTGTTTTCCCATTCAATATCGAGTTTCCCCGAGTCTCCAAATGCAGGTACAGGTTGAAACAAGGCCGTCAACTGTGCATCTAAGTAGGAATATTGTTTATCGCCGAGCCTTACTAACAGCTAAGTTTGGCCTTGGATGAAATTTGGAAAGAGAACAGCTCAGAGTGCGGTTCGAAGATCTTCCACCCCCTCTTCGAAACACCAATGTCTCGATAGGATTTCAGTTCCCCATGTATTTTGTGTGTCCATTTGCCACACAGACAATATCTCCTTACGTATATCCATGCCTTTTCAGAGATGGAATTGTGAGCCCTTCTGTACAGCAGTCAGTGTTGCTAATCACTGTACTGTCTGTGCAGCATTTCCAAAAGTAGGTCTAGTGTACTTAATGTTCACTTCAGTACGAAAGCTATTTGCATACAGTCGCACATTTTTTGTAGTGGCTACATATCCTGGCCTATGTTATCAAACATATTTCTTAGGTAGATTTTTTTTTTTTACTCTGTGATTTTTGTAAATAAAAATTATGTTGTCTCTGAACGTAAATTCGCTGTTTGAATGGTGTTTAAGTGGGATATTAAGGTTTTGTATCTCTTGACAGTTAGCTATTATTTTTGAAGTAGGCTTGAGCATAAGCTTGAATCATTTTTATGAGCAAAATTTCCTCAAGACCTCTATTTTTACCCTTTCACATTTAAAGAAAAGAAGCTAGATTTAAGAAATAATGAGAGAAAAGTACTGTAACAAGTATTTTTCAAATGTCAGGAGTACTATCCGAGCAAGATTTAGTTAACTATGAATATTTTGAAATTAAAAATCACAGATTATTTCATTAAGATTATTCTAGTTTACAGATATACTGAATGTAAGAGAGATAGTAAATGTACAAATTCCAATCACAATCACTTAAAATTAAGCATGAAAAATCTTTAACCCTGTCAACTGAGTTTTGCATAAGACATCCACTGAAGACTTCATTTTTTATAATTAAGTAAAAATTAGATTCAATAAATTTAAGCTTTTGATCTAAAATCTGTTAATTTTATTTGAAAAATCATGGAAGCTAAAATTTAAACACTTTTTAAATATCGTTTTTGGTCACTGAAGTTTTATGTCATAATCAGCATTAAAAATAGTATATTATATCTCTTAGATTTAATTTGTGCCATCCTGATTAACAGAGTTGATTGCTATATTGTGGGTTCTAGATTTAAATTCTGGAGAAGTAGTGATTGTTTGTAATTTGTATCCCCTTCATGCAAGTGTAATATTGGTCACCCTCTGATATGCACTATAAACCATTTCTCTCTTGGTAAAGAGGCAGTTAAATGCCTGAGGGGCTTGGGCTATTCTCGATAAATGCACACTTAACAAGTGTCCACCTCCTGTATTAAAAAAAAAAAAAATAATGACAACTACTTTTTAATACAAAAGCTTGTATTTTGACAAAGTAACAGAATTTTTATATTATTAAAATTATTTTGTGGCTAACTTGAAAGTTTTCTTCACCACAAATATAAGTTTGTTTCTTTATCTTTGAACTTTTCATTGATAATTCAATACCTTTTAATTAACGAACTCAGCCAAACTGGTTAATAATCACCTTCTCAATTTTTATCTTTTAAATAATTTCAGAATTGGAGCAAAAAGTAAATACTACGAATTAACGTGGCATATGAATTGTCTTCATTTGTTATCCAACTGATGCACCTGAAACTGTGCAGCAACTGTAGGTATTCAAGCATGTTTTTAATAAGAAATTAAAAGTTAATAGATTCATTGAATGCTTATATGCAGATTGATTGTATACAAGATGGTTCTATAGCATATAGAAGGAAACATTTTTAAACTTATATAAAGATTCATAGAACTTAAAAAGTTAGAAAAATCACTGAATTCTCTAGTGTTAATAAATGAAACTTCACATATTTAGTATGCAGAATTATAGCAATTATAACTATGTAACATTGGAGATAAATAAAAGCTAGCCAAATGTATAATTTTATATGCATTTTATTACTTTAGCAATAATAATGAAAACCAATCTGGACAATATTTTTATTTTAACAGCCAGTGGATACCATTCAGTCTTCAAAACAGCCTTTTGCTTTCCTTCTAGATATTTTCTCCAAACGATTTCCTCAAGATAACATGGACAATTCAATTGTTTATAAAAGACAACTTCATGGGATGTGCATTTCTACAGTTTACCACTAGGCAAAACACCATATTTTGGAAAACACACACACTAATCACAACCAGAAATCACAAACATAACTCACAATTTCCAAAATTGCTCACATTTAGTGGGTTGCCAGATAAAATAAATTTTCATAAAATTCTGAGTTGCCTACTTTCCACTTTGCCTTGTTATTCTTGTCACAATTTAGACGGATAATGTGATAATACCAAAATTTATTAGGATTTTATAATTGGGTATTTTAATACATGAAATTGCAATATGAGAGAAAGGAGTTTAATTTTCATACTAGATAAATTAATGATGCTCTTTAAATAATAAATAAATTACAAAAGTAATTATATATACTATATCTTTCTCAACTATCTCTAATAATAGTAGCTAGAAATGTGTGCATGTATATATGCAAGAATGAATATATCTGTGTGTATACATATACACATACATACATTGATACATTTCTGAATTCGGTCTCGATAACAGAGTAGTACTACTTTTTCCCTTTCTATATAGTAATAAAATATTGTAGGTAATTAGTTTGTCTTTCATTGTAATCAAAACCACACTCTCATCAAATATTTACTTACATAGTTAATGTGATTATTATTATATAATTTTTACTTATTGGAGATATTTAAAGTATGTTTTTTTGAGAAATAAAAAATTTTAGAAATTTGCTTTTAATTTTTAGATTACATAGAAATGGATTTGATAAAGATCACGGCAGATGAAATCAATATATCCGATGCCTTAACAGTTTTATCCAATCCTGCATGTGGTGGTACTGCTTGTTTTATTGGAACTACAAGAGATACATTTAATGGTAAGAAAGTATTGAAACTTCATTATGAAGCCTATGAAAGTATGGCCATTAAAAATCTACATAAAATTTGTGAAGAGATGAAATTTAAATGGCCTATTGTAAATGTAGTTCTCATTCATCGAATTGGTTCAGTGCCTATATCAGAAGCTAGTGTTATGGTTGCTGCTAATTCAGTGCATAGGAAAGAAGCTCTAGAAGCTGTAACTTATGGAATTGATGCTATAAAATCTGATGTTCCAATATGGAAGAGAGAAGAATATGATGATGGAACATCTAACTGGAAAGAAAACTGTGAATTTTATAGAAATTTTGAACCTAGGTAAAAATTATAGAATTATTTTTTGAATTGTGTTACATGAGATGTTAGTTATCTTCATGATAAACACAGTGTCTTTGTCCCAGTTTAAGAAGGTTAGTTTTCTTGTTGTAAATTTAAATTCCAGAATCTTTATGTGCAAATGAACTGTAAATGCAGTTTTTGAAAATGGTGGGTTTATACTGCAGAAGACCAAAAATTTGTACAATCTCATAACAGTGAAGTATCAGTTATAAACAGATATAAACAGTGAAAAATCACAGTTAATTAGGTGGCAAAATCATAAAGCTTTTGAATTAAAAACTGTTATTTCCAAATCGACCTTGATTAATTTACACACAGGTACAACGCAAAGCGACATTCACTTCTTTTTGAAACAAAGACTGATAGTGAAAAATTTTGTACATCTAGTACTCAGGCTAAAGCTAAAGAACTGTTTATTTATGTTAAAGAAATAATGAAAAGGGAACAAATGTTTCAAGAGCATGACATTGTGAGTTGTTGAAAAAATTTTAAAAATCACTATCAACTGTCTGATGATAAAACTATTGACAATATTTTTTAATCCAGTGCAAGAAAATTCTGATCATGCTGAGGACTTAAACCAGAGGTCTCAAATTGGCAGCTACATAAGGCCTCGAAAGCTATTTTATGTGGCCCATGAATACATTTCTCTAAGTTAATTAACATTATTATGACATTAATTGTTATGGCATGAATTTAAAGAAAAGTTTAAGATTTTAATGATTCTGAGTCTAATTCTGCATCATTTTCACTGCCATTAGAAATGAGCATGAGTAATCCCGGAAAATCTACAAGTGAAGTTGATTGATTTACACTGTGATATAAATCTTATTGAAAGCTATGATATAGATTTGATTAACTTTTTTTTTCACTTGTTAAGAAAGATAAATACCATTAGTTACAAATTCTTGCAATAAGGATAAAACTGCTTTGTTTGGAAATACATTTGTATATGAACAGATTTGTCCAGCAGTTAAAAATTAACAAATTAAAAAAAAAAAAAAAAAAAAAAAAAGAGGTGCTGTAGCTGAAAGTTGTAATACGAAATAAAGAAGTTTATAAGTATTTATATGCAAATATATATTTTTTGTCTGTATATAGCAAAGAAAATTTTAATAAATAAAAGGTAATAGATTGTTGCTATTTGTTCTCAATCTTTCTCCTGCTTGAAAAGTTTTCATAATTTGTTTGCTTTTAGTTTAAGTAAATTACTTAGTAGTTAACTCAACATGTTAGAATTATTAAGTAAATTTTTGCTTGAAAATTTAATATTTAGCTATTAATATATTTGAATTACAAGTGTAACCAACAGAAATTTCATAGAGTCTGTAGATTTCAGACAGAAAATAAACATAATTTGAAATATAAATATATTTTTTTTTCTTTTGCATCATTATTATCACTGTTTATGTATGTTTTGATAAATAGTAAATAAAATTTAAAATTTAGTTTACAAAATTTGTTAAAAAAACCCCTTTCATTATGGAGGGGGGAAATCTCTCCCCCCCCAGTTGTTTTCAGATCGTGCCTTCGGTCTGCATACAATTTGAGTTTGAGACTACTGCTTCGAAGAATACTTAAAAGATACTGTTTGGTTTTTGGAGAAAAATATAAAAAATTTTTAGAACAACTTAGCTGTTTAATTGATCATAAAGTAATTTTCATGTATAATTTGAATGGGGATTCAAAATAAAACATACTGAAATTTTAGAACTACTACACTGCTGGCCATCCAAACTGCAGTATCAGGAAGAATAAGAGGCATGCAAATCTTATTTGCTAGACAAGTAATATAAAATAAAAGACTGAATTGATTCAAATTTCAGCCCCATTTTAGATGCAGAACGTGGAGGGGGGGGGAAATCGCTATTTTGTATAGCTGTCATGGATGTGAGTGACTACTATGACATACTTCAACACTAAAAGAGGCTTTGGTTATGTGCTTAGACTGTGTCAGTCCGTGTCATTCTCACAGTGTGCAGGAAAAAAGTCACAAACTATGACTTGTACATTACTTGAAATTACATATACAACAGTTGATTTCAATACTGCTGCTTTCAACTGTGCTCAAATGAACTGTTATTACATGACGATCAATGTTTTACTCAGCCACAGCTCAAAGCTGCATGGAGTACAAGGAAGACTATATGTTGACTTGACAATGATCCACGGGGCATATCTCTATTTTTGCTATTGGACTGACTAGCAGCTCAGTTATTTGCAATCATCTGTAGGAGAGACCTGTTAGTCTGAAGTTATGGCTATCATAGGAAAAGTTTTTCTTTCTCAGCTTGGTGACATTTCTAAACATGTCTTATTTTTCCTATTGCAAAATATTGATGACTTATTTTCTGTTTCCATTCTTTTTCTTCTGCCATTTTTTTCTGTAACCATTTTCATGCATTGCTATATTTCATCTGGTGTAGCTGTGGGGTGCTTGTTTGCCAGCCATTCACCAGACAATTTTTATTGGTGATGTACGAGAGCAGGTGAGCCAAATCTGCAGTTTGACCTGCAAATTGGTGAGGAATGAAGAACTGTTCAGCATTGTGTACCATATGTCGCCATGCATCATTCTGTTCAAACTTGGCTACAAGCAAGCCTTGAAGGTAAGGAAAGGACAATAGACTTCAGAACTTTAAGGGTTTAGAAGTAGCTATTGAATGTGCTAGCAATGCATATTAGGTAAGAGTGGGAGTAAAATCCAGAGGCCGTAACTCCAGTATGGTGAGACATAATACAAGAGTCATGGCTGTACAGCTAGACATGGATATGACCATCATATTGCTGTATGCAGAATCAAGATTTATTTGAAATAATGATATTGTTTCAATTTAGCATTCAGTGCACTTTATCCTCATATGTTGATGATGCAGAGGCAGTGATAATTGTAACAATGGACACCTTGCAAAGATTCTTCTCCCATGCAGTCAATGTGAAATGGTCTAAGCTAATAAAGGTTGTTGGACAGTAAACCTAATTGTTGTATAAAAGTTCTCATGTTGCTATGTGATCTATTATTGACTCGTGCACAAGCTCTTTTTGCTTGTTCTGTGGTGTGACATGGCTTGTACAATCATTCCCATTAGTCCTTTCTGCACCCATCAAACCATACTGAAATTTTTCCACCTTAAGAGGGGAAAGTACACAGTTACTGTATTAGTGTTCTCCCATATTATAGTATTTGCAGGTGGTATTACTAACATATGCAACAGTGCGATCTTGATTCATGTGCTTGTGCTGTCATGATCTATGCATAGTGCAAATTTCAAGTTTATGTTATGCTTCCTTCATAGTGTTGCATTTTAGATAGCCAATTGTGTATAATACAAATGTTTAAAAAATATAAAATTAATTTTTTATATATCTTTCTATATACTCTTAATTCCTATTTTCTTCTTTTTCAGTGCTTCTTATTTTGCTTTGTAAAAATGTCAAGCTGAAATGAATTGCTTTTATGTATTTTTTTAAAGTTGTTATTTATTTATTCCTTTTTAAAGTTTAAATTTAAGTATTTCTAATAAAATTAATAAATGCATCTTCTGGTCTCACACTGTCTGTATTTTTTATCTTGTGCTGCATTACTATTTTAAAGAACAAGAGATTATTGTATAAAATACCACTTTTGGAAAATGTATTATAAATAGTGAAATTAGTTTTTTTTTTTTTTTTTTTTTTTTTTTTTTTTTTTTTTTTTTTCAGATGTATTGTACTTTGATTTGTTAATTCTTATAAGAATTATCAAAACTTTTGAGAAGCAGCTATTTAAAATTTATAAAACTCTTGGTTTCTTGTAAATTCCAAATCTCTTAGCTTAATAAATAGAAGTAGTATTTTTACACAAAAATTCTATATGTTTTTTATAAAAATTCTATATGTAATTTTTTTTTGCATAAAATTAAAAAAATGGCAAATAATTACTGAGAAAATGCAATTGCACTAAAGCATTCATTTCCATCAGATAATTTTCCTATTTAAGTATTTCTATATCTCTGTAAAATTATAAGATCCCACTGATTATTATTTTGGTAGTAGTTATCTATTTTACTGGAGAAGTTAAAAGCAGCAAGTAGTTATCTATTTCCTTTACTAATCTTTTCATGCTTACTACTTCTCTACCATTTGGAATGAAATTCATGATTTTAGATAAGTCTTTATGCAAAGTATTTATCAGATAAATATTGAGTTAATAATTGCCAAAGTGCAAATACTTGACTGGTTAATTGTAATTTATGTATTAAAGAATTTCAGTTTAATTTAGTATCTGATTAAAAGCTGAGCTATATCAGTAGTTTCCCAACATTTTTTTTTTTTTTTTTTTTTTTTTTGTGCAATTCTCTGCAAATAAAAATTTAAATATGCATGCTTTAATGAAAATAACTTTTTTAAAATTTATCAGCACAAATTACTTAAATTTAGGCAAAAAAAGGCAACCTTAGTATGCCATGGATTTTTAAATCAAATTCTAATTTGAGGGTGATTAGATTCTCTCTTCTTAAAAAGCAAAACATTTTTTAAAATCATTTGCTTGTTTATATGATTTGAATATTTCAAAAGTTTAATAAATTGTATTTGATTGTTTAATGCATGTTGGACTATCAGTGATGTCATGAATAGACAAGTGTTGTCATGTTTATTTTCGTTGTTTAAGAAGGCAATTAATCATTCACTGAGACTATGCAAGTAAAATGTTTATGACAGTAAATTTCCAGTGGCAGCTGCAAGCTCTACACTCATCTGTTTAGTGGTTAAGTTTCTGCTGTGAGAAGAAACTGACTTTGAAAAAATATTAGTTTTTTCATGACTATGTTCCCCCTTCCTATCAAATGTTTTAGAATCTGTAAATTGTTTCCAGAAAGTAAATACTATTTTACACATTTGATTCATATTGCCACTTCTTAATTCTTTTCTGCTTCTTGTCATTTAATTACCTGATCTAAGCAACTTGCTGCTCTCCACCTAAAAATTTCTTCTAAATGATATTTTGATGCCATATTTTTTTTCTTGATTTGATAAGCATTGAAATCATAACATAAATTTCAAACATTTGTAGAAAAATATACTTTGTGCATAGCATTTACTGCACTTTTGAATGACATCATATCATTTACATTTCAGAAATAAATCGATCAAATTGGATTAGGGACAAAGTAATTCAGGTTGACTCATGCTTGAAATATCATTATTTTTATGCAGTGATAATTTTGGATACTAGTTAAAATATAGGTCAGTTTTTCCTATTTTCTTTCCCTCCTCTTTTTCGTGCTTTTCTGTGTAGCAATTAAATCGTTTGTCAGTATACTGGTAAACTTGCATGCTTCTTTCAAAATTTCAATTGAAGTTCATAAATATATCGCTAAAATATTTTTCATCCCTCCTTTTTTCTATTATAAGGTTTAGGTTTATCTGTATGGTTTGTTCTAGTCATTTTGAGAATGCCCATATTCCCGTCAGTAAAATTTTTGATCATCTAGTGTGTTTACTGTTGATCAGCATTAGTGTGTTATGTCCAGCAGAGTAAAAACTGCTAACCTAGCAAAATTTTTTTGCACAATGTTGCAAAGTTCTTCCCACATAGCTGTCATTAATATATAAATGCTTTCGCTACTTTAAAATGCTCCAGTTCAAATTAGCTATGATATTAATAGCAGAGTATTTTCTTTTAAAATTACACAAAATTTGTAAAGTGCTATTTTTAAGTTTCACTATTTGCAGTAGGGAAAAAGCAATAATTTGATTCTAAGAAGTAACACAAAATGGGTAAAAGAATTCTTGATGACTGTTTTAAAGACAGATTGTTATTGACCAGTTCAAAATCTTATGTAGAATAAAAGGGAAATTGTGCTCAACACTTACTGTAAACACTTAATGATAAAAACTGAGTAACAGTATTTCTATGGCTGTTGCATTTGAGAAACTGCATTTTCATCAAGACGTCGTATATTTTATCTTTTGTGTAATTTTACAATTAAATGTTCTGTTGTTATTTTGAATTATTTCCATTCCATTAAATTAGTGTTTTATGAAAAAAGGAAGAATAATAAATTAAAATGATTCATATTACTGGAGTGATGTTATTCTTAATATAAAAATTATCAGTTCAGTTCAGAGCTAATCTTCTTAGATATGTATCATCACAGTATTTTCTGGATAAATTGTATCATTAAAGAATAAGCCAGCTAAGCATTGTTGAATTTTATGATTGCAATTAAAACAAATTATTGTTATTTCTATTCTTTATATATTTTTTCAGATATTTATGTATATATAATTGTAGATATTTAAAATATAGTTTGAATAATATGAGATATTTTTTACATACCTTTGTTCAATGTTTTTTATTTATAGCTTTCGTAGTTTATATATGTGTAATGTTAGTTTACTTAAATTCAAATGAGTAAAAAATTTAGGTAGCGAATTGCAGTGCAAAGAATTCATATCCTTCCAAAAAATATTATTTTTTGAATATTATTATTGTAATCAATATATATATATATTGAATAGAGTTATTTTTATTACAATTATTATCCATACCTAATTCATACATATCATTCATACTGCTTAACATTTTTCATGCACCATGGTAGTAAAACTCTAAATGATCTGCTTTATTTTCAAATTTATTCATTCTAATTACATATTTAAGTGCATTATTATTATTATTTTAGTCTAAATTTACTGAAATTTTTTAAATATCAATTTTGTTTTCAACTGTTGTTATTTTTATATATTTAAAAAAAAATTCATGAAGAGTTGGTTTAATTTTTTTTTACTGTTGTACAAATCCTTATGAATAATAATAGCAGAATTATGTTGTAATATAGTTAAATGCATAATGTGTTTACTTTAAAAAAAATCATTATTTAAGGCAGTATTTGAAAATAACTAAATTGCTAATAACCATTTATGGTAAATTCTTTCCAGTAAAAAATTTCAAAACATGTCAGTACTTGTTGCTGTAAGTTTTGATTAAATGCATTAGAAATTATATGAATGTTTTAAATTTTGCCGCCTTGTTGGCATGGTGGTAGTAGCAAAGTTAGTTGCCATAACTTTAGCCACAGATTCGAATGCTGGAAAAAGGCATAGATGCCTTTTAAGAGTATATTATCTTTGCAGCAAGTGGGCATATAAATACTATCAAGTCGAAAGTTCTCTTTAGAGGTTTGTAAGTAGAGGATAAAGGGTGGGGGATGAACTTTGGGATCCATCCGATGGGTATTTTTATTTAAAACTGAAGCAAAGCTCCTCTTTTCTCGTGGGTTTAATCAACACCTATCAGATAGTTACGGTGTTGGTTTAATTCGATTATTCCTGTTGACTTTCCCTGGCATCATCCTGGGTGGTGAGATAGCTGAAAAACCTCTGCAATTTGGCCATTTCTGATGAATGCATTAAAGTGTGAATGTCTGGTCGTTAGAAACAATGTGTTTTAAATTTTATATTGAGTATATTATTTACACTTAATATCAGATTCAGTAAGTGCATTACTGAATCTGATATTAAATGTACTTTTTTTTGAAAAGCTACAATTACTAAAAATTCCATGTAATATAGAGAAATTCTTAATTTGGAGACAGGAGCCTATAATTGGTGACCCGGACGGGATTATTACTCCTTTTGGAGTATACAAATTGCTATTATTACTCATTTTCCATTATACGAATTTAATGTAATGAGCTTTGGTTTGAGAAATGCACCAGCAGCGTTTTAAAGATTTATAAATATAGTTCTTTCTGGTCTAAATATGGCTTTTCCCTACTTAGATGACATTCTGATAGTATATGTTAGTGAGGAACAATACAGAATCCATATGAAGCTAGTGTTTGAAAGATTAAATGATTATGGACTCCGCATTAACGTTTCCAAATCCATCTTTGGCACACAAGAAACAGAATTCTTGGGTTATTTAACTACTCAAAGATCACAACCTTTACCCGACTAAGTCCAAACTATTGTTAATTACAAACTTTCAACAAGCGTTCACGAACTTAGAACATTCTTAGGCCTTATTAATTTTTATTGGCGATATTTAAAAAATGCATCAAAACCCAATCTCTCCTACTTGACTACCTTAAAGGAGCACGGAAAAAAGATAAATTGAAAATTCGGTGGACAGGATGAAGGCTAAGGAACAATTTCAGTGATAGTCAATACAACACTCTTATCATTTCTGAATCATGAAATACTTCCGTTATTATGTACAGATGCTTCAGACTCGGCAATTGGAGCGGTACTTCAAGAATTTGAAGATAAAGGATGGAAACCTATTGCATTTTATTCCAGAAAACTAAACGAAGCACAAAAATATTACAGTTCGTACGATAGGGACTTGCTGTGAATTTACCTCTCCGTCAAACACTTCACATTTTTACTGGAAGAAAGACCGTTTAAAATATTCACAAACCATAAAGCCATAATCTTTTCGTTTAAACAAAAGCCAGAAAAAGCATGACCTCGTCAGCTTCGACATTTACAATACCTCTCTCAATTTTCAACTGATATACAGCACATAGAAGGTCGAGACAACATCGTTGC